ATGCCTTTACAGTAAGCCTAACAGTTATTGACATTGAATGTATTGTATCACTATGATATCCCAAGAAATCATTCTTCCTGAAAATGTCTAGTATATGCCATATATTGGATCTTTGTATGGTATTGAGTTTGTTCAAATTAATCCCGAACATACCCTCTGGTAAACAAACAGTTTGCTATTGAAAATGGTGATTTATAGTGGATTTATCCATTAACAATGGTGATTTTCCATTGTTTTTTGTTCACGTTTACCAAAGGGTCATTAAAACAAAAACATGATCGACTCAGCCGATGGTTCTCCAGGACTTGCCACTAATGCAGCTTTGATTCTTCATTCCATTTTGGAAAGACTGACCAGTTTCTGTTGCTGGAAAAAACAATCCATTTTGGTTAAATCCATCCTCTCTGCGCTGATGGAATAGAAACCTCTGTAAATCCTCTAAAGATTAAACATGTCAACATGGTCTTTCTTTATGTTATTTGTCCATGTGGCCATATGAAGGCTTCCTAAAAGGAAGCAGGTACCCCAAGTCACCAGGTTTTGGAATATAATGATCATCCATGACTCAAATGATTTGGGGGTACCTGCATTCTTAAGAAACCACCCAATTCATAGCAAGTTGATGATGATATCATAACATACCCTATAGAAAAGTTGAATATGAACATGTTCCTTCTTTCAGACCATTATCAGCCATTAGCATCCATGAATCTGGGTAAATTATAGTATGTCACTAACCTGAATTAAGGCTATTTGGGGATGATTCCCCCTACTAACCATGATTCCAGTGAGGTCGCAGTGAGGTCGCAGTGAGGTCGTTATAATTTACCATGAATATTCATTGACTAATTAACCCCCATGGTGGATTTCTCAATGATTATCCAGGAATCCATCCACCCAATTCCTACAGTTCTTCTCCCACTTTCCATCATTTATCCATCTGGTTGGTGGTTTCAACCCCTCTGAAAAATATGAGTCCGTCGGTTGGGGTCACTATTCCCAATATATGGAAAGTCATAATCCAGCCATGTTCCAAACCACCAGCCAGTTTTCCATCATTTATCCATGGTTCTTCTCCCAGTTTCCCCACATTTTCCCATTGAAATCCCACATTTTCCAACCGCTGGGGCAACCCCACCGGTTGCGCGCCATCCGCCAACTCCAAGGTGCAGCTGGCGCAGCGTCGCACCCCGCGCCGGGACTGGCACGTTTCACCGTGGGAGGTTCAAGATCTGAAAGCTAAACAAAAGGGAAAATATGGGAATATGATCTGATTCAATGGGAATTAATAATGATTCAATGGGAAATACAGTAATGGTGGTTTAATGGGAATTAAAAGTGATTTAGTGGGACTAAAGAATGATTCAGTGGAAATTAAAAGTGATTTAATGGGATTTGATGGGATTTAATGGTGATTCCAACCATAATGGTGATCATTCAATGGGAATAGCATGGGATATATAATGGCAACCATACCTCATTTTCAGACAAACGCATATATTATCCGATCCAATGGGAATACAGAATGCCAAGAAAAATCCGGTGATTTAAAATGATTTAAGAAAATAGAAGATCAATATGGAGGATTTCGCATTTCATCTGGATTTCAAGAGCCCAAACTAAGGGGGTTAACGGCAACAAAAGTGGAAACCAAACCTTTGAATTTGGATATATTTGGATACTGTAACAAAGATGTTGTAATGTCCCAAGATCGGGATCTAACCATGCCCAAGATGCGGCTCCTGGCAAAAAAAACGGATTCCATCTATACGACCAAGAGTTGTCTCAACTAGGAATTCTATTGGCCAAAGATGGAGATATAACCGAAGTAACCAGATTTGACCAGGCACGAAAGAATATCTCCCTCACCAAGTCTGGATTCAAAGTACTGACATGGTGATTAAACCATATTAAACCAAGAGTTCACCAGTCAAGGCCAGGAATTGAACTTGTCAGGCATAGAAAAAATAGAGCTTAACTACTTGGATGACAATTTAATGGTCGCATCACGATCAAACCTGGGTTTTAACTTTTAACCAACAAAAAATGGGTTGTAACGGCTTTAAACAACTGCTGCGAGGCATAACACTCCAAATCAATAGCCCCCAAAACACCAGTTGGGATTGCAAGCTACAGACCGGTGATACAATCAATACAACAACTTCTGGGGTTGAAAACTATATAGAACCTTTACCAGGAACCTCCAGCAACCCGAAAAACCATCAAGGATTTCAGCTCGAATTGCACGGAAATTTGCTCCCAACATTCATGGTTGATATGGAGGTTTCTGAAAATTGGAGGGTACCCCCAAATGGATGGTTTAGAATGGAAAATCCTCTTAACATGGATGATTTAGGGGCACCCACCATAGGAAATCTCCAAGTTGGTGGCAACTTGGAGGTCGGAGCGAAGCTCGCCGCGAAGCTCGCCTGGCCCAGCACCGCCAAACAATCCTTGCTCTCTTCCTGAGGGTGGCACCTGGTGGACCTGGTGGACCTAGTGATGTTTCCGTCCAAAATGTTTCAAAACATGGCATCGATGATCCCTGTCCACTACAGTGGACAGATATGGACAGATTCAACATGATTTTCTGATTTTTTCTACTAGGTCATGGAGTCATGGATATTGGAATGCCACCAAACTGGATTTCTCCTCAAAATTCTGGATTCGACATGACCGACTCAGAAGGTGGACACAGGTAACCCAAGAATGCGGAAAGCAACAACACTAGCTTTTCCACAAAACCATCCTGTAAAATGTCGGAAATCCATCTGCAGCAAATATTGATCCAATATTCCCCTGAAATGGGATGCTTCAATATCGAAAATGCCAAGACTCTGTGTCTCCGAACATTTTTGTTCACAACCCACATGGTCTCAGACTATCCAAGACCAATATTCCCAAAACGGCCAACGTCTCGTGGGCATTGGGTACCTCCAATGCCTCACCTCCATGCCAGCCCCCTTCGGCCCTTCAGCAGTCCGTCGCACCTGCACGACAGGGGCGCAAGTGGAGCACAACAGGCGGCCGCAGAAACGACAGTGGTGCCGCCGCCAGAAGGTGTTGAAGGTCTCACAGCGGCGTTTTTTCGGATGGATGGGATGGGGGATCTCAAATAGGTTTCTCGACAAAAAATGTTGGGATTTAAATTACCCCAATTCCATCCAATTCCCAAGGATCAGAAACCTCGGTTTTCCCAGATTTAAGAGGTCTAGTAGGGTTCTTTGATGAGTTTCGGACATCTCCACAGCATCAGATCATCCGGCCTTGCTACACTCCTGGCAGCACTGCGAAGCCTCATTGGGCACCCAGCTGCTGCCTTGGCGCGCAGCATTGGGAGGGGAGCGTCAAGGGCTGTGGCACTCATGGCATAGAACATAGGAGTGCCCAAGTGGGTTGAACAGCAACCCAAGTGGCCAAGTGGGTTGAAGTTCCTCATTTTGAATGGAAACACATGGAAACCAAGTGACTGTAGAAACAAGTCAAATGTACAAACGTGTTTGTTTCTTCCAGCTTTTCTGAATAGGAAACAAAGTGGTGCCATGACATGCTGTGTCTAGATTCGATCATTAGGTTCCTGATTTTGTTCTGTAATTAATTATATAGACTATGTGTGTGTCTTGTTCCTCTTTGGTTAGTCCCAAATAGAAGATGTTGTCACTCTGATGTTGGGATTTTTTTAATCCTCAGCAACTCTCCTCAGAAAACGAGGTGAAGTGCCATGCACAGTTTGGTATGTCCCATGATTGGTGATCTGAGAAGAAACAATCACAGTAAACAAATGTAAACAACACATGTGCCATGGTCAAATTATATGGGATTAATAGGGTATGGATCATTATTGTCATACCGCCATCATGAATGAGACACCCCAATGGGAATACTGACCCCTCCCGGAGGATCACATGGGATGACCATCTCATAAAAATTGGTTTGGCCCCCCACTTATCTTGTTAAATCCCCAGTGTGTGCAGCATACCGTGCCAACCCAATGCTCTCAGTTCCCCAAAGTTCCTATCATTAATTTTGCTTGAAATGCCCATGTTTGTTGATCGCGACCTTCATCGCTCAAGCACATTTTCACATACTTGGTGGATCTTGGTGGCTGTTAATTAGTTGTATCCTGTATACTTGCTAAAAGACATGCAACGTTCTTGCTCAAGTCAGCATGTTTTAGTTTGACTTCCCGTTTTCTTCGCAACCTTCCCATTTGGTTGACATCCTGACGAGTTTTTGCTTGAAGAACTCACGAGTTTCGCCCGACCTTCCCAGCTTCCCAATGGATTTGTTCCATCGATATCATAGTCCTACCGAGTCTTACTGGTAGTTTCAGATGTACCCTCTGGTAAACACACGTATATAGATATTGAATATGGCCATAGAAATAGTTGATTTACCCATCAAAAATGGTGGATCTTTCCATAGTTTTCTGTATGTTTACCAGAGGGTACAGTGATTTGCCAAATCATCCCAACGTCGTGGTTTTTCTTTCCATGTCGCGTGCCACAAACACCAACGTCTGGTGGGTTGAGATCCTGATTTTGGTGGCTCAAAAAAACCCATGTGAATCCCTTGGATCCCTTGGATCCCTTCATCTTCGCCAACAGTGGGTCCCAATTTTATGGAATATCAACTGTTGGGACCCCAAGAAGTTACTATATATATATAATATATATATATAATCCAGTGCTACTGAATAATTACTTATAATACTTATATCAACAGTTGGAATCCACAAAAAGCCTGCAAGAAGTTACTATATAAGCACCTGATTTGCCCCTACTATCCCCCAAATCGTAAGTGGGTAATAGATAAACCTCTATCTATAAATCACATTGACAGACTAATTTCAATGCACCTCCCGAAGTAAAGATATATGATATAATAACAACATTATGATAGTTGAAATGACCATAGCTTAAGTACCATTCATACTTTTATAGTGTTTTCCTACTATGTTCATGACAATCACCCAAGGTACCCAGGGCTTTCTCCAAGTCGCAACTCTCCAAACTCACCACGCTCTCCAGCGATCGCCGCCGGAGGCTGGCCACGCTGTCAGCGCCGCCGCGCGCGGCGTTGCCGGAGGCGGCAATGGCCTTAGGATGAGCCGAGCGAACCTGGAAATGGTGATTGCACTGGATTGAACCAACTGAAATGGTGATTAAAAGCTGCTAATTTGGGTGATTTCAGGGGCAAAACATGGTGATTCAACCAACTGAAATGGTGGTTGAACCAACGAAGATGCTGATTAAAGCAACAAAAATGGGGATTGAAGCAAGGATTCAACCTACTGAATGCTGCTTTGAGCAACAAAAACTGGAATCGAAGCAGCTGAAATGGTGATTTGAACAACTGAAATGGTGATTTGAACAACTGAAATGATGATTTAAGATGATTTAAACAACTGAACTGGTGATCTCAGCGACAATAGTGGGGATTGAACCTGGCTCATGGACATGTTTACCCAAGATTCAGAAACCTGCATTTGATGAGCAATGGAGGGTCACAAAAACAGTGACTTTTCCAGTTTAAACTGGCGCAGTTTTGATCAATCAAATAGGCTTCCGGTTATTAATGGCAGTAGTGGTGGCAACTGATCATAATAGTGGTCAATTGTCAGGCAAAATCTTAGACAAAATATTGTTCACATGATTGAACAAATCCAATACAGGCCATATTTGCTTCTCAACTGTATTTTGTCTGAACAAATCCAAATCACTTAGCCATATTAGGGCTTGGATTGGCCAGTGTGATTTGTTTTTTTCCCCAGCAATCATAATGACCCGAGCAACTCAAACCGTTGATCCCGGTTGGGCGATCCCAACTTGTGGGATTACCCATTAACATCTGCATATTACCATAGATATATACCATTTATAATAAATATAATATATGGACATCCGTATATACATGTATATACCCAAAAAAATCATAGAGTATATGTATTGATAACCATAGTGTATATATATATATATCCCATTACCATAGAAGTATACATACGTATTATATAACCATATCCCATAGTCATCAAGTTTCTACCCTCTGGTAACTAACATAGCCATTGAAAATGGCCATAGAAATAGATTTACCCATTAAAAATGGTGGATCTGTCCATAGTTTTCTGTATGTTTACCAGAGGGTACTGTGATTTGCCAAATCATCCCAACGTCGTGGTTTTTCTTTCCGAATATATGGAAAGTCATAATCCAGCCATGTTCCAAACCACCAACCAGTGTTTGTTGGTTTATAAACCATGATAATCCCCATTAATTCTAGTTATATCTAGCATAAACCATAGTTAACCAGATATTTATAACCATAGTATCCCATGTGTCATAGTGTTTCTATATCCCAACGATGACAGGGCCCTCCGATGGACTCCGAGGCGCCGCGTCCAACTCTCGGGTGAACTCCTTCGCCAGCGCTGCATTGGACGACGAGGCGGACACGTCGCCGCTGCCCAGCTGTGCCATGAGAGACATGTCCTTGGTGCGGGGGTGGGGAGGAGCTATGGCACAGTTAGATAATTTATCTACTTGGTGGTTGACCTACCCCTCTGAAAAACATGAAAGTCATTTGGGATTACTATTCCCAACTGAATGGAAAAAACAAATGTTCCGAACCACCAACCAGTTATGAGGTGGTTAAAATAAAGTGTCTAAAAGTGATTATACTTTAAGTTAGATAAGTTGGTGAGTCACCATGAGTTATGGATAGCTGGTCAGTATCGCTCATAAAGTGGTTGCACTAGATCAGTAGATATAGATATTCCACACTTTTGGTATCACTTATGGGCCAGTTAGATAACTTACAAGGTGATTAAGAGTGATACCATAAGTTTGTCTACAGATGATATGTTGTTGCTGATAGGTGGCATGAGCTTGTAAGGATTTAACACTTGATTTCACCACTCAAAAGTGATACTACCACTTACTAACCAATCTACTCTGATTGGTGCTTAGTCTCGTCATTGGTGATCATCATCCCAAATATGGTTGAACATTAAACCAACATGAATCCAATAGCCAGTAGAGTGATGGTAAGTTTGCTGGTAACTGATGATTGCAGGTATCATAAATTCCGGGGACTGTTTGCGCATCTTCGATTCTGCTTTTTTTGTTTAATTCAGTAGCTGATGAATAGCGCTATAAAAAACTGATTCAACCATCAACTTTGGGGATGCACAGGCTTGCAGTACGAAAATCACTCCATTCTCCCGGATCCCATTGACTTCAGCGGGTGCTGCAATCATGCGTCGCTTCATGCGATATGCTCCATTTACTTAAAATGTGTGACAGATGGTTCCATCCCAGCACAGGTGCAGCAGCCATTAATCACTGATAGATAGTACGGGTAATAGTCATTAACCCCACTATATCCCACTAATATCCCACTAATCCGGTTGATGGATTGACCGTGTCTTTCGAGAACACTGTCATTCTTGGTACACGTAAGCTGTATAAAAAGGGACCAGTGGCTTCATCCTTCATCTTGGTAGCGTTTTTGATCAGACATTTTGAAAGGAACCCCCTCGCAGGACTTCATTGCCATGTTGTAGGATAATGTTGTTTAAACAAACATGAATTCATCTCATGAATATCCTTGATCATCATGTTGTAGGGTTTCACTGCCAATTTCAGGACAGATTTTTCATCAAGTGTGACTGCCAATTTCAGGACAGATTTTTCATCAAGTGTGGTGGATTGTCCCATTTGAACATTACCTGGCCATTAGGGGAAGCACTACTAACAACCATTTTATGGCGTCATCATTTTTTGAGAATTTCAAACCCTAAAATTGACACCGTTACCAACTGCTCTCCCAAATTTTACTCCGTCTTGTCTCCAAGTCGGATGTTTACACAGGCTACATAAAAGATAGTAACATATTCCTGTTGCAGCCTGTTGTATCTATATGATGGGTCACATAAAACATAAGGACATATTCCTGTTGTAATATGACGGGGCTGTGTGAAGACATTGCGCCCCAAACTCCAATGGTTTAGATTAACAACATCATTTCCCCCTAAAAAACATTGCTATAATGCAAAAAAATACATGGAAACACCATGTGCTGCCAAACTTCGCCCTGCAAGCGGAGTTTGCGACGCATCAAAAGCACGGGCACCGCGCTTTGGTCCTGCGGCATCGTCGTCATGGTGTGACTGAAATTTCGGGATTATCCACAATATCTGCAATTCTTTATGCGGTTGAATCATTCAATTGGCAAAAATGAGGTTAAACAAACCATGGGTGTTTTCGTATACAATAATTATTCAGACAGACTGACAAACCCATATTTCCAGATTCTTCCAAGCACCAAACGAGTGCTGCTTAGTCTTTCTGGTCAGTGGTGGAGGCATCATCCCAAGAAGACGAAAGTATTGGATGAGCATCGAACCATCGAACCCACCAACCACTGATGGATAGAGTGGATAAAGAACAAGGGAGTTTTGTAGCACTGTCATTGTTATTCTGATGGAATCCAATACTGCCTAGAACGGACATAATCAAACAACATGTCACAAGGTAAATGATCCCCATAAGAGGCGGCACAAATTTAAGCACACATTTCTGACTTGCACAAACGAGATAGAAAGGCAATCCAAAACTGATTGGCCAAATGCAAACATATTCACGCATGGAAAAGAACATGATTTATTTGTTTTGTTTATAAAATAGTAAATTACATTTATCTATCGCAGTTCTGGTAGTGACCATACTCCCATCGCAACAGTCCCGTTGTGCCGCGACAACGCCGACTTTCTGGCACGCGCCATGTTGCTTTTGAACATGGTTCGCATTCTGTATTAAAGCACTACAGGATGCTCATCCATTTTCCAGAGAACAGTTTGGAATTGGAAAACAGTTTGGGTCATTCGCTCACCAACAAAGTAGAGTATTGATTCCCTTGCCGATGGTTGGGTCCGTGCCATACATAAAGAGTGCCCCTTCGCTGCTGAGATCTGCTGAGCATCACAGTATGGCTACAAAGTGAAGATGCACAAAAGAAAGAGAGAACCTTATGTTCAACTGCGAGGTTGATAGGACGGCTACGACCCGTACGCATCACCTAGGGAAGGTATTGCTAAACCTCATATGTTCTTCTTCAAGTTTGTGAAGTTGATCAAGTTTCTTACGAACCTGTTGGAACTCGCGTGAGTGCTGAATGCCTTTATGTTTAAGTTGCATCATTTCGATTCGAAGTCCTTCGAGTTCAACTTCTTGGCGCCTGTGCAGTTCGTCCAGGTCATCTCGTAACGTTTGCACTTCTGAAAGGTATTGCCTGTAAACTTGGTCACGTTCATTTTGCAGATGTTGCAATTGAACCTGACATTGTTTCACATCATGTTTAATCCCCGCAATCTCTTTTTTGTTCCACTCCTGGACCTCCTCTTCATCAACTGAAGGCAGTGATTTCATGTAGTCCCACAAACCATCATCATCGCCAAATGCAAACCAGTAGATGTGGATGCGTTCACTGAGTTGGCTGATCACTCTTTCCGTCGTCTCTTTTGCATCATATTCGAGCATGCTGCCTCCCTCGAGGATCACACCAAATGTGTGAGTGAGTTCAAGCAAGGTTTTGATGGCTGTCTGAGCGTCTTCTGTGAGAAGTCCTCCTTGTAGAGAAATCAAGAAAACAATTCGTTTTTGATATGACATGTAGTTCCCTTCAGAATCCCTATCAGGCTGTAGATATGTGTGAATGGCTTCTGTGCGATTCTCTGCGCTTGCCAGCGGCATGTCCAATAACCAGCGGCCATGTTGATCAGAGGGAGCCTGGACTTCAAAGTCATAGCCGCAGGTGCCATTAACTTTCTCAGTTTCGAAGGACCCAAAACGAGCGAAAGCATTGCAAAGCTCAGGTGTTGCCTCCCCTGGGTTGCTCAACAGAAGGGCTTTGTTCTCGTGAACAACATGGTTTCTAACGTATGACTCACACTCTTCTCTGGTGACATAACCATCCTTGTCCTCATCCATGATTTGCACCTCTTTTGCCAAGAATGCCTCGATATGCTCTCGCTTCTCGGGGTCCAAACTGCAATGGCTCTGGTAGAGAGTGCTCAGGAAGCGCTTGGTACTCCTACTTCTTTTAAGCCTCTCTTTGAATTCAACAGTTGTGGGGGACGAGCCAGAAGGCATCCGGCAAGTACTGTCAACATCTGCCACAGTGATGGGTACAGACTCTGTCCCACAGTGATCATTTTGGGGGCCATATAGCAAGCAAGATCTGAAGGATGGCAGTGTCTTCCAGCTGACTTGTGTGAGATTGGGGCAAACATCGTTCCAGCAAGCGAAATTCAAGGAGCAAACTGAAATGATATTGGTCTCTCTCGCTTGCGTGTCTTTCACAGCATGTTGCCAATGCTTCATGAGACACTTGGAGGTTGGGAAAAATGCGCTCTCACCCAAGCTCTTGACCACAACTTTCTGGAACACATTACAGTAGCACACCACATTCCAACTGCATTGAATGGGCAGTTCCAGCCACTGGCCCGCATCCAAAATATAAAACAAATGGACCACAGCCAGCACAAGGCGTACTGTCAGTAGTGTCTTCACCCATCCCCATGCGTTTCGACAAGTTCCACGTCTGGCACGTGCGGGGGCTTCTTCCATGCCAGTCCGAGACATGTCTGACATCGTTGGGGAAGAGTCAGGCAAATGAGAATCACAAATTGCTTGAACCAAATTAGCTGCATTAGACGTCTGGGAGTCATTGATGTATCAAAAATTAGAGACATTGATGTACCAAATTGATGTACCAAGAGTCATTGATGTAACAAAAAAATCATTGATGTACCTCACGTTTCTCTGAGCTCGAGCTCATCTTCTACCTGTCATGAGACGATGGATGGAACATTTATGGATGTCCTTGCCAGGACCGCCTGAAGGGTGCCGATTAAAACACATCTCCGGTGGGACTGTTACTGTACTTCCACAGGAACCCACAAGGAACTCACGCGGCTGTGTCCAAAACTCAGTTGGCTGTGTTCAAGCCACGGATCCATTCCAGCTCCTTTTTTTTTCTAACTCTTTGGATATCTTCAAACAGAAATCTCAAATATATCATGATCGATGATCCATGATCATGCAGTATCCATGATGTTTTACTAAGTATGGTTACTAATGATGGTTAATCACTAATGATGGATTACTAATGATGGTTTACTGATGGTTTACCCTGCCAATCTTTACGAGGAAATTGGGAAGTCCGTCCTGCAAGGCTTTTCGCAAGGAGTTCACCGAATCGAAGCGAATCCTCGACAGGTGTGGATCTGGAAATTGGAGACATCCGACGTAAGCTCCTTTGATCTCCAAGATAACAACCAACATACACCGGAGACATCCGACGTAATGATGTGTGTTGTAAAAAAAAAACTTGAGCTGAATATATCAGCTATATCCATCTATATCCCATGGTATTCCTATAATTTGATCACATATCACAGTAGTATCCCATGGCGTCCCCATTTCATCCCCCTTCCCCATCTTTGGCTCGAGACGCGTGGTGTCCACCCGAGACGCGCCGCCGCTCCATCGTTCCACTGTGGCAGTGCCGGATCCACCCTGGCCGGGCTGGATGCATGGGATGTGGAAGTGAAATGAGCGGGTCATGTTTCGAAGCAAAGTGTTGTGAACTATTCCATATCCCATATGCGTATGTAATCTGTATACTGTATACACAATATATATATATAATCTGTATACTGTATACATTAGACATGTATGGAATCAAAGTGTTAAATGGATCAGATCGATAATCAAGTTTTTCTAGCACATAGAATGTCAGGAATGACTTTTGGAAATGGCCCTGGAAACCATCCATCCACATGGCTAGAACATAATCCACAACCATTCACCACAGCTATCTTGTCAAAACGTAACAGTTCATCCCCACACATGTTCATGGTGATTTGGATACATGTATGGGGATGGGTCAAAACCTATCATATTTTACATATTTTGATATATATTTTGGGAATAAACATGTGTTAACCAGATATTTTAGGTTGCGTAGGGTGCCAGGATTTTTACTCATCGCCGTACGACATTAAGCTTAAGTGTGACAAAGGATGGGACCAATGGCACCTGCACACTGAAGATCAAGCCGGCGGCATCGTTGATGTTCAGCAACACACCTTTAAAAGGTGCAGCATTTGGTGCTTCTCTGGAAGCCCCTGAGCTCTTCAGAGAAAAAGACATGGAAACCAGATCATATCCTTGGGATTTTCGCACGTTTCGGTCATATGGTCTACTGGATTTCCAAAAGAACATGGAAGATCGTGGCAGGAAGAAGTAGGTTCAAACCCAGCCATCCGATCAGGGCTTTATATAGTCATCGAGTCATCCTTCTGTCGCGAATATCCCAACAACCCACCAAGTTATTAACCATGGCCATTAACACATGTATCAAGACATGTATCAAGACATATGCTCAATCACCACTTCTAAAGTAAAAGCACAACTATATTCATCAACTATATTCATCAACATATTCTACATATTTAGACAGTAAGTCTATAAGTAATGTGGTAAACCCCATGCCACCGAGCCAATCCCCGGCACGTCCGGAGAAGTCCCGCGGGATCAAGCCACCTGTTTAGTCTGGGCGCTTGGAAGATCCGAAAACTGAGGAAATGACCCAAAACATGGGCAGTGAATGGGGATTTATATGGATTTATATGATTTATAATGGGGATTTATAAACTGGAGGATGAGCATTGAATATCAATTATGGGAAAATATGGGAAAGTATGGGAAACATTGCACATACTCATAACAAATCCAATGACTTTGCATTGAATCTAGAATCATTGGGCATTGAATTTGTGGGACACTTCCATGCAACAATTAAACAGTATATCGGAACTTCAGGAAGACTATGAACACATCAGCGTTTTTCATCACCCGAAAAACCTTTCCTCGAAGGTTAAGGTCCCGCAAAAGAATCATCCCAACACGTTTTAAGAAAACTTTGCAAGGCACCACAGACGCACCGACTGGGAATATGACCAGCAATAATAACAGGTATATAACAGGTATATGCTAACAATAACTGGCGTGTGAGACCAACAGGTCTTTTCTAGATTCCATCCCCATCAAAACGTACTATTTTAGGCACCAGGTGATCAGCCATAGTAATATCATGCTGTTTGTGTTCAATCCCAATTCAATCTAGTAAACTACTTTTCAGTTGGTTTGAACGCTTAATTATGATTATGGAGGTTTCCTAAAATATAGGCACCTCCAAATCATCCATTTTTAATGGGTTTTCCCCTTATAAACCATCCATTTTGGGGTACCCCCATTTATGGAAAACCCCCATATGAATTTCTCAGGATGTGATGCAGTTTTCGAACTCGTTGCCGCCATTCACCCCACCATTTCACCACGCTCCTGCCCCACCTGCCGCACTCAACGCCGCTTGCAACAACGGCAGGGCCGCGTCGCAGGCCGCAGCTTCCGCCATGGCGGGGTGGCAAAGAAAATCGCTGATGAAACGAAGATGAACAACAGTAAAAACAAAATGGATGATAAACAGATCTCTGATAGATATCTGGTATTGATCATCCATCCATCTTCTTCTTACATCCATCTGGATAACTTCTCTGATAGATATATGGTACAAATATGGGATAGATAATAGATATCTGAGAGAAATCTACTGAATGATTCAACTGATTTCGTTGGCTCGGTTGAAGGTGGGTGGTAAACTGGTTTTGGGTAGGTGCTCTCAGTTGAGCCCCTGGCTTGAAGGTGGCTGATGCGTTGGAGTGCATGAATTTCGAAGCCCCACCTATATAGATTCCTAGATAGGTTTGGGCATGTTAGGTTTGGGCATGTATCTTGGAAAACTTCAGGGCCCCAACAGACCCAAAGCACCATTTTCAGCAACTGGAGGCCAAGCTGCCACTTCTCACGTGAGTGTTAGATGGTTCTGCGACAAGGGAAGCAAGCAAGAAACTGCTGCACGGCGTACGGTTAGGTCACAGCAAAGTAGAATGCAGCAAAAAACCACCTGGAACCTATCCAGAACAATTCCCATGTTTAGTAGTTCAAAGGATGCTTTCAGCCCAATCCGAAACAGTGATATCCCTTGATTTAGGCAACTTTCATAGATTTTGTGAATATAAATGTCCCATTTTCGGACGGGTGTAAAATTGTGCAGGGTTTAAGCTGATGGCAGCCATTTTGTTGTGATGCCAACAAGTGCTCCCAATGAACAGCATTTGATAATGACGTCGCATCGCACTATTTCCCTATAGTAGTGGAACTCAATATATCTCATTGTATCTTATTGGGTTCCACTACTATAGGGAAATAGTGGCAATATCCAATGTCCCTATTTGTTAATATTGTTAGTGGCAATTACATGAAAACTTGGTCACGTTCATTTTGCAGATGTTGCAATTGAACCTGACATTGTTTCACATCATGTTTAATCCCCGCAATCTCTTTTTTGTTCCACTCCTGGACCTCCTCTTCATCAACTGAAGGCAGTGATTTCATGTAGTCCCACAAACCATCATCATCGCCAAATGCAAACCAGTAGATGTGGATGCGTTCACTGAGTTGGCTGATCACTCTTTCCGTCGTCTCTTTTGCATCATATTCGAGCATGCTGCCTCCCTCGAGGATCACACCAAATGTGTGAGTGAGTTCAAGCAAGGTTTTGATGGCTGTCTGAGCGTCTTCTGTGAGAAGTCCTCCTTGTAGAGAAATCAAGAAAACAATTCGTTTTTGATATGACATGTAGTTCCCTTCAGAATCCCTATCAGGCTGTAGATATGTGTGAATGGCTTCTGTGCGATTCTCTGCGCTTGCCAGCGGCATGTCCAATAACCAGCGGCCATGTTGATCAGAGGGAGCCTGGACTTCAAAGTCATAGCCGCAGGTGCCATTAACTTTCTCAGTTTCGAAGGACCCAAAACGAGCGAAAGCATTGCAAAGCTCAGGTGTTGCCTCCCCTGGGTTGCTCAACAGAAGGGCTTTGTTCTCGTGAACAACATGGTTTCTAACGTATGACTCACACTCTTCTCTGGTGACATAACCATCCTTGTCCTCATCCATGATTTGCACCTCTTTTGCCAAGAATGCCTCGATATGCTCTCGCTTCTCGGGGTCCAAACTGCAATGGCTCTGGTAGAGAGTGCTCAGGAAGCGCTTGGTACTCCTACTTCTTTTAAGCCTCTCTTTGAATTCAACAGTTGTGGGGGACGAGCCAGAAGGCATCCGGCAAGTACTGTCAACATCTGCCACAGTGATGGGTACAGACTCTGTCCCACAGTGATCATTTTGGGGGCCATATAGCAAGCAAGATCTGAAGGATGGCAGTGTCTTCCAGCTGACTTGTGTGAGATTGGGGCAAACATCGTTCCAGCAAGCGAAATTCAAGGAGCAAACTGAAATGATATTGGTCTCTCTCGCTTGCGTGTCTTTCACAGCATGTTGCCAATGCTTCATGAGACACTTGGAGGTTGGGAAAAATGCGCTCTCACCCAAGCTCTTGACCACAACTTTCTGGAACACATTACAGTAGCACACCACATTCCAACTGCATTGAATGGGCAGTTCCAGCCACTGGCCCGCATCCAAAATATAAAACAAATGGACCACAGCCAGCACAAGGCGTACTGTCAGTAGTGTCTTCACCCATCCCCATGCGTTTCGACAAGTTCCACGTCTGGCACGTGCGGGGGCTTCTTCCATGCCAGTCCGAGACATGTCTGACATCGTTGGGGAAGAGTCAGGCAAATGAGAATCACAAATTGCTTGAACCAAATTAGCTGCATTAGACGTCTGGGAGTCATTGATGTATCAAAAATTAGAGACATTGATGTACCAAATTGATGTACCAAGAGTCATTGATGTAACAAAAAAATCATTGATGTACCTCACGTTTCTCTGAGCTCGAGCTCATCTTCTACCTGTCATGAGACGATGGATGGAACATTTATGGATGTCCTTGCCAGGACCGCCTGAAGGGTGCCGATTAAAACACATCTCCGGTGGGACTGTTACTGTACTTCCACAGGAACCCACAAGGAACTCACGCGGCTGTGTCCAAAACTCAGTTGGCTGTGTTCAAGCCACGGATCCATTCCAGCTCCTTTTTTTTTCTAACTCTTTGGATATCTTCAAACAGAAATCTCAAATATATCATGATCGATGATCCATGATCATGCAGTATCCATGATGTTTTACTAAGTATGGTTACTAATGATGGTTAATCACTAATGATGGATTACTAATGATGGTTTACTGATGGTTTACCCTGCCAATCTTTACGAGGAAATTGGGAAGTCCGTCCTGCAAGGCTTTTCGCAAGGAGTTCACCGAATCGAAGCGAATCCTCGACAGGTGTGGATCTGGAAATTGGAGACATCCGACGTAAGCTCCTTTGATCTCCAAGATAACAACCAACATACACCGGAGACATCCGACGTAATGATGTGTGTTGTAAAAAAAAAACTTGAGCTGAATATATCAGCTATATCCATCTATATCCCATGGTATTCCTATAATTTGATCACATATCACAGTAGTATCCCATGGCGTCCCCATTTCATCCCCCTTCCCCATCTTTGGCTCGAGACGCGTGGTGTCCACCCGAGACGCGCCGCCGCTCCATCGTTCCACTGTGGCAGTGCCGGATCCACCCTGGCCGGGCTGGATGCATGGGATGTGGAAGTGAAATGAGCGGGTCATGTTTCGAAGCAAAGTGTTGTGAACTATTCCATATCCCATATGCGTATGTAATCTGTATACTGTATACACAATATATATATATATATAATCTGTATACTGTATACATTAGACATGTATGGAATCAAAGTGTTAAATGGATCAGATCGATAATCAAGTTTTTCTAGCACATAGAATGTCAGGAATGACTTTTGGAAATGGCCCTGGAAACCATCCATCCACATGGCTAGAACATAATCCACAACCATTCACCACAGCTATCTTGTCAAAACGTAACAGTTCATCCCCACACATGTTCATGGTGATTTGGATACATGTATGGGGATGGGTCAAAACCTATCATATTTTACATATTTTGATATATATTTTGGGAATAAACATGTGTTAACCAGATATTTTAGGTTGCGTAGGGTGCCAGGATTTTTACTCATCGCCGTACGACATTAAGCTTAAGTGTGACAAAGGATGGGACCAATGGCACCTGCACACTGAAGATCAAGCCGGCGGCATCGTTGATGTTCAGCAACACACCTTTAAAAGGTGCAGCATTTGGTGCTTCTCTGGAAGCCCCTGAGCTCTTCAGAGAAAAAGACATGGAAACCAGATCATATCCTTGGGATTTTCGCACGTTTCGGTCATATGGTCTACTGGATTTCCAAAAGAACATGGAAGATCGTGGCAGGAAGAAGTAGGTTCAAACCCAGCCATCCGATCAGGGCTTTATATAGTCATCGAGTCATCCTTCTGTCGCGAATATCCCAACAACCCACCAAGTTATTAACCATGGCCATTAACACATGTATCAAGACATGTATCAAGACATATGCTCAATCACCACTTCTAAAGTAAAAGCACAACTATATTCATCAACTATATTCATCAACATATTCTACATATTTAGACAGTAAGTCTATAAGTAATGTGGTAAACCCCATGCCACCGAGCCAATCCCCGGCACGTCCGGAGAAGTCCCGCGGGATCAAGCCACCTGTTTAGTCTGGGCGCTTGGAAGATCCGAAAACTGAGGAAATGACCCAAAACATGGGCAGTGAATGGGGATTTATATGGATTTATATGATTTATAATGGGGATTTATAAACTGGAGGATGAGCATTGAATATCAATTATGGGAAAATATGGGAAAGTATGGGAAACATTGCACATACTCATAACAAATCCAATGACTTTGCATTGAATCTAGAATCATTGGGCATTGAATTTGTGGGACACTTCCATGCAACAATTAAACAGTATATCGGAACTTCAGGAAGACTATGAACACATCAGCGTTTTTCATCACCCGAAAAACCTTTCCTCGAAGGTTAAGGTCCCGCAAAAGAATCATCCCAACACGTTTTAAGAAAACTTTGCAAGGCACCACAGACGCACCGACTGGGAATATGACCAGCAATAATAACAGGTATATAACAGGTATATGCTAACAATAACTGGCGTGTGAGACCAACAGGTCTTTTCTAGATTCCATCCCCATCAAAACGTACTATTTTAGGCACCAGGTGATCAGCCATAGTAATATCATGCTGTTTGTGTTCAATCCCAATTCAATCTAGTAAACTACTTTTCAGTTGGTTTGAACGCTTAATTATGATTATGGAGGTTTCCTAAAATATAGGCACCTCCAAATCATCCATTTTTAATGGGTTTTCCCCTTATAAACCATCCATTTTGGGGTACCCCCATTTATGGAAAACCCCCATATGAATTTCTCAGGATGTGATGCAGTTTTCGAACTCGTTGCCGCCATTCACCCCACCATTTCACCACGCTCCTGCCCCACCTGCCGCACTCAACGCCGCTTGCAACAACGGCAGGGCCGCGTCGCAGGCCGCAGCTTCCGCCATGGCGGGGTGGCAAAGAAAATCGCTGATGAAACGAAGATGAACAACAGTAAAAACAAAATGGATGATAAACAGATCTCTGATAGATATCTGGTATTGATCATCCATCCATCTTCTTCTTACATCCATCTGGATAACTTCTCTGATAGATATATGGTACAAATATGGGATAGATAATAGATATCTGAGAGAAATCTACTGAATGATTCAACTGATTTCGTTGGCTCGGTTGAAGGTGGGTGGTAAACTGGTTTTGGGTAGGTGCTCTCAGTTGAGCCCCTGGCTTGAAGGTGGCTGATGCGTTGGAGTGCATGAATTTCGAAGCCCCACCTATATAGATTCCTAGATAGGTTTGGGCATGTTAGGTTTGGGCATGTATCTTGGAAAACTTCAGGGCCCCAACAGACCCAAAGCACCATTTTCAGCAACTGGAGGCCAAGCTGCCACTTCTCACGTGAGTGTTAGATGGTTCTGCGACAAGGGAAGCAAGCAAGAAACTGCTGCACGGCGTACGGTTAGGTCACAGCAAAGTAGAATGCAGCAAAAAACCACCTGGAACCTATCCAGAACAATTCCCATGTTTAGTAGTTCAAAGGATGCTTTCAGCCCAATCCGAAACAGTGATATCCCTTGATTTAGGCAACTTTCATAGATTTTGTGAATATAAATGTCCCATTTTCGGACGGGTGTAAAATTGTGCAGGGTTTAAGCTGATGGCAGCCATTTTGTTGTGATGCCAACAAGTGCTCCCAATGAACAGCATTTGATAATGACGTCGCATCGCACTATTTCCCTATAGTAGTGGAACTCAATATATCTCATTGTATCTTATTGGGTTCCACTACTATAGGGAAATAGTGGCAATATCCAATGTCCCTATTTGTTAATATTGTTAGTGGCAATTACATTTCTCAATCCGTATCATGTCGATTCACCACAAAACAAACAACAGCACGATACTTAACAAGACCACTGCTGCCTGGATATGCCACTTTTGGGACATGTTTCTACTCATACCTTTACACTCATTGTATACAATGGATCAAGCAAACAAAATTAAGTGCAGACGTTTCTGCTACAGTACAGTATCTTTCAATGGCAAGTTCAACAAACAACATTATTTGAGCGGAAGGTTTCCGTCCGCGGTTCCATGCACGGAGTCAATCGACGGCATATCTTGGGTAAGAGAAGGTCTTTGTTGTTGTTCTATCCGAAGGGTCACCTTACAGTAATAGTAAATGTAGAATGATGTAGATATCTACATAGACAGTTTCTATTACCGTTCACTGTGCAGGGTCAATCACAGTTGCAAAACCAAGCACTTAAACAGCCGCAATTAGGTTCAGGACGGCTCCATTGAAATGTTTACAACAAAGGTGTTGGGGACAGCAATGTCTCAAAACCCTGCATAAATGCATTTTTTGGAGGGGGGCACTCATATGAAATATACACGTATCACTTATCATAAGATCATAAGTCATAAGTATCATAAGTATATACGATATACCCTCTGGTAAACTAACATAGCTATTGAATATGGCCATTTATAGTGAGTTTTCCCATTAAAAATGGTGATTTTCCATAGCTATGTTAAATTACCAGAGGGTATACATAGTATCCATGATTGGTGTTCTCCAAGTCTAAGGTCCCTGGCATTTTCCCCACAACTGTGGCCCAAACGACCTGCCAAGACCCCCAACACACCCGTTCAACACAAATCACCCTGACCAATGTTGGAAGTCAGCTGCATCATCCGCATCCCATCCGGCCCAGGAGGAATCAACCTCTGGAGGAAGCCAATCATAGCCATCCTGGCGCCAAGTGGTGATCCGGTGATCCCTGGTCACTCACTTGCCATAGCTGAGCAATATTGAGTATAGTGAGGGGTACCCAATGTTGAGTAATGTTTAGTATATTACTCAAACTATACTCAACCAACAGAAAGATTGCGCTTGTTTCTACTTGTTAGTAGTTGAGTAATGTTTATATTATATCGTACCATGTTAGCATTTTATCGTTTGGGGTACCCAACTTTGGTTCATGGCAGCATTATGTTGTCTACGTCATTCTGACAATTTGTTCTAATCACTTCATCCAAAATGTTTGGAAAGTGACGTCCCTTTTTTCGGTTTCAGACCCGAGGATTTGTAACTACAATGTAAGTCCCCCAAATAGGTAAAGTCGTTGGAAAGTTGGCTAACGATGGTTTAGGGATGTGTATGGTACTGTCCAGGCTTGGATGGGTGAAACAAAAACCAATACATATCCATCGATTTATCATTGACCTATTGCCTCTCATCCCAATCATTACGTATAATATATAAACAAGTATTATCTGGTTGGTGGTTTCAACCCTTCTGAAAACATATTAGTCAGTTGGGATTTTTATTCCCAATAATATGGAAAACAAATGTTCCAAACCACCAGCCAGTACATATATATATATATATTCTGTATGAATGTTCCCATGAATTTATATCAAGTGATGTTCCCATGAATTTTCCATGTCAGTCCCAACTGATATAGCCATAGCTCCGTGGCCCACCAGCGGGACCACCGGCAGTGCCTGCGGCGTGCGGTTCGCTCCGAAGACGCGGACCGCTGAAGACTGGCACTGGCGCAGACTGCGCTCAGCCTTGGAGCTGACGGCACTGACAGCACCAACCATTGGAGGTCACTAAGATGTCGCTGGGTAGATATGGATTGATTTTCCAGGGATCTTCAGGAATCCACATGTCAAATCCGATACAGTATTAGTATAGGGGTGAGATTAATACCTTAAAACCCAAGGCGTTTGGTTGTATCCCAATTTTTACTTGTTTTTGTTCGTGACCCAAATTTGTTGATGGTATCCTCTTTTAGTGGTGAATTCCCAATCTTCAGCAAATTTGGTTGGGAAAATTCAATTTTGTTTGCCAATCAATCCCCATGTTTGTGGCTCAGAGCCCCGCTGTGGTAAACATCGTTGTTCTACAAACGGATTAATCCATAGATTATCTATCCAACCTTAATATTAAAATTCAATGGTATTAATTAATATGATATTAATGATATATTAATTCAATGATATTAATGGAATTATTATACATTGAAATTCCAAATCTTGTCCTGGTTGGTGGTATACCTACCCCTCTGAAAAATGATGGAGTTCGTCAGTTGGGATGATGAAATTCACTGAATGGAAAGTCATAGAATTCCATGGTTCCAAACCACCCACCAGTATCAATGTAGATAAAGTAAATCAAACCATATACCATATACCATATATTAATCCATATACCATATATAAATCCATCATTACCATGTAGATAAAGCCAGTCAAACCCGAAACACGCGCTACTCCTGGGTGCCCCCTGCGGCGATCATGACCCCGAAGTCCAAGATCTTCACCTTCGGCGGGTACAGAGGGTGACATCTCTGTGGAAAACAAGGCAATGATTATAGAGATGGCAATGATAGATTCATATATGATATATAATTATATATATACACATATGGTATAAGATATATGTATATATCTAATATTTGATATGTGCTATGTACATCTATCATATCTGATCCATGATATATGATATATGATATATGATATATGATATATCTACGGCCGTGTTTCTTGTTGCATGCAACCAAAATATGCGCATATATGCACACTGCACACCTCCTTGAATGACCTGCATGTCATGTGTTCCAAAAACGCAACATGCGTGAGACATTGCGATGTATGTGACGGTTTGCCAAAAATTATGTCAACTATGTTTGGCAAATGGTCATGTATTACATATTACATCATTAAATAAATAAAAACACTAAGGTGATTTGTTAAGTGTGTTATCATGTGTTTTCCATCCAAATAGCCTGCATGTAGAAGGTAACTCCACCTTCGCGCCCAGTCAGGCCTGGCAGCGTCGTCCTCGACGACAAATCCTCAAAGCTGAGGGCTTGCCCTATGTGAATGAATAAATGTTTGGTAAATCAATGGGAAATTCGATAAACATGGGAAATACATGGAAATGCCACCCGAACAAAAAAACATAAACTCTACAGTAAAACTATTCAAATGTGGGACATTATGGGACATTGTGACATGCCAAATCAATTCAGAATTATGGCAAAAAAAGGCATGCCAAATCTACTGGGAGAAAAATATGGCAGTGGACTGGCCGATCATGGCATATTTCACAAGTTCACAAGACAACAATGGATGGTTGAAAGGGGAAAGCAAACACAAGCCATTTGTGGCGTGTTGTACTTGAAAAACCCAAGTTGAACCGGGGAATAGGTTATCTATCCACATTGCCAACTTCTAGAATGTGCTAAACTCATCAATAACTACAACTGTGCTAAATTTGTGTTCTTTTGTTTAACCAGAAAAAACGGAGTTAAGTAACGGAGTTTAGTCTTGAGCTTACCCACTCTGCTATGACAATGGTTCCTCTCGGGCCAAGAAACTGAACGTTGCAGGGCCGCAAATCTCGATGAATCAACTGGTGCTTCTGCAGGTAGACACACGCCTTCGGGCAGGAACCAGACATATTCATATTCTCAATGGAAATTTCAGGATTCTAAAATGGAGGTACTGTACCATATGTTTGGCCATATTTTGTGGGGATATTCCCGTATATAGGCCTAAAAAATAGGCCTTATGGTAGGTACCTCCAATCAATCGGTTCCTGAGTCATGGCCATTGATAGTCTGAATTGAATGGGTTGGGCCGGTACCAGCATCCCCAACCGCAGGTCACGTTGGGTCACACTCAAAGCTTAAGACATAGCACTCACCAAGGGGTAACTGACAAGTGTGCCGCCATGGATGATGTGTCATGAAAACTGAAAACTATTCAAAACTGAACCCAACTTGGATAGTTGGCAAAACTGAATTTAGAGGCTTGACATCTTCCTTTCCGTTGTTTTTCCTGTGAAGTCAACAACACTATTCTGGTAAGTTACCCAAAAACAGGCTCGACCCCAAAGCTGGTGAACCATTTCCACACCTTGGCCACCTGCACCAAGATCAGTTGCCGCTCCTGGCGGCTGGGCTTTGGAAGCGCCGTTTTGAAAACACAACATGTTTTCTGTTTTGAAACAGCATCAATGTGGTATATCCTATCTGAAAGCACATCAATTACTAAGTTAACATATATAAACGATTAGAAATGTATGGAACGCCACACAGGGTAGATTGCGTTGCCATCCCAAACACTATCATTACTCTAACGTCCTCCGGCGTGATGGCAGGGGTCTTCGTCTCAGCCCTGGCGCAGACGGTTCTGTCCCACAGGGCTTGATTTGTTGAGTTTATGGATGATCCCATTGAACAAGCACTTGCCAGAAAAATGGTTTATGGTGGTTAATGGATGCTTAATATATCGTTAATATATGGTTCAGATATGGTTAATATAATCTCTCTCTCTATATATATATACTGCTTGGTGGTTGACCTACTCCTCTGAAAAATGATGGAGTTCGTCACTTGGGATTATTATTCCATTCCCAACTGTTTCTGGAAAGTCATAATCCATTCATGGTTCCAGTCACCACCAACCAGTATCAATTTAGATATATACCATATACCATATATGTATCCATACATTAATCCATATATTAATCCATGTCATTTTGGAGCCAGCTTAACTCAATCATCCCTTCCAGGTCATAGCTATGTGAGCGATGTTACTGTAAAGATGTGGGATGATGAGTGGATGCCATGACTCCCTGCTGCATTTCCTCTATCCTGGTCAATTTCAGAACGTGTTGTTAAAAAAAAAATAGGGATGGCTGGCTGATTGGCTTGTGATTCCAAGACACCTGACAATTTACAAAAAATCTTCCAACCTGAAGCTGATCACAGAAGAAATTCAACCAAACGCCACCAAGATATTGGGATTCACAAGGTTTTATGATGCTTTAGGATATCTGGCCACCTATATATATATATATAATGTTCACAGACCTTTCCTAGGTTTTGATGCGTGTGGTTCCCCTCAGTCTGACAAGTTTATAGTTTTCATGTGGTGGTGCCCGGTGCGGGTGGTACTGCTGGTGGTGCTGGTGGTGGTGGTGGTGGTCTCTTCGTTGGTTCCAAACCCATCCCCATATCTGACATGCCATATCTGTCCCGCTTTTTCGCGGCTTAAGTATCCATGGTTTGTGGTTGAATCCCCATCATCACTGGGTTTAAATCAACGTCCTCCAGCCTGATTTTGGGGTTCAGAATTGCCCACAAGGCCTGCAGCGAAACGGAACTGTTCGACCATTGATTGGACGGATTTGATGCTCAAATAGGATTAAATCAACTTCTATTCATGTTTTGTTTGAGGAATGAAGGGAACAAGCCATTAAGATATGCGGAGAACAGATTTAGCTGCATGACATTTTGATGCGGGGTATCCTGCATGCATAGCCCTCTGCAATGGTGGTTGAATTCAATCCAAGGAAGCACATGTTAATCTTGAATTGTATTTCATGTCCCATATTTTTGTCATGTCAATTATATCATAATGTATGCATGGTTCTACGATCATGTTTTATCCTTGTTCTTGATCCTTCGTGTTTCAACCCTTTTGCAAACCACAACCCAACCCAAAATGGGATATAAAATTTAAAATTTTTCCCCCACGAAAATGTTGAATCCAACATGATGAAACTGGGTAACGTGGTAAACTCCATCATAGACCATACCAAGTTATGTTGATTCATCCTGATTTATCCAGTTTCATCACCTGGAGATGTAATCAATTGTACTCGCAAACAGAGTTTCATGTGTGGAAATCAGTTGTTTACAAGGTGGTGCCAACCACTTATGAGTGGGTGTATAACCCTTATGCAGGGGTGGTTTATAACCCCTATGAACTGGCTGGATACCACCACCACAAAGCCTCGTTGCTGGAGTGACAGACCAACTCAGCCAAAAAATATGGGGCACTACCTTGGAAGAAACATTCCATGACATCTCTCCATCATGGATCATCATGCTTGGTTTACCCTCTGGTAAACGTTGACATGACGAACTGGAAAAGAAAATCACAATTTTCTAGCTGGGCAGATCAGCGATTTCTATGGGCCATTTTCAATAGCAAACTGTAACAGTCATTCCCAGAGGGTACAGGTGGCCCCAAGTTTTATAATCTATAAACATGTAATCTCATGGTTTATGGTAGATATTCATCATGCTTGGTTTATCTCCCATTGAATGAATGGTGAAATCATCGCGAAATTGCCATCGAGGCCTGGCCCGGGAGGTACTCCATGACCACATATGGCCTGGCAGCTCGAAGGGAGATGTCGAGGATCATCCAGGGAACCAGGGTGGGTGATGGTGTTTTCAACACTTCAAAGGTTTCCAAATTGTTTCCAAATCATTTCCAAATGGTTTCCAAATGGTTTCTAAATATGTTCTAAATAGTTTCTAAATCGGTGTCCAATGGTTCCTAATGGTTTGGAATGGTTTGTCTATATGCTTTTTTTTAATGGCTGGGGTAAGTTTGCCACGACCTGATGTAATCTGGCTCGCGGGAATGGAAAAACGACTATTTCAAACAGAGCAGGAAAACAACCTGGAAAGGAGAAGAGATGCGGGCGACACGGACCACATCTTTGTGCAAATCTCTATGCTGTAGGCTGCAGTGCCTGCCAAAAAAGGGTGTCAAAACCATTGCAAAAAGGCTTTCCTAAAGGTGCTTCACGGGATTTTTGGGATGGGTTCTAGGATATTCCAGCAGCTCTCTCTTGACACCATTCATCAAACCTGCTCCATAGGCTGTATATGAGTTTGTCTCAAAACAGGGTACCTCAAATTCCATTGATGTATCATCATTTTCCCTATTACATTGCCATGTGGACCGTATACCACTGTATACCCAATTTTCAATCAAACCAATATTATGAACATGCAAAGTTGACCAGGACTTTCCTTTCTGATCCGTACTTTCATCATGTGGCTGCCCCTAACCCTGCCACCCCTCACCCTTCAGCCTTCCAGGGAGTGGTCGGACCTCGCTCCAATCGAAATGATCTGCCTGAGATGGTTTTGGCAACCCAAAATGGGAGACCAATGATTGAGCCACACAACTGGTCATGTCTCATATGTATATATATATATTATATAACAAACAAACAAACAAACAAACAAACAAAGTAAAAAAGTAACCACACAAAAGATCGAACGCTGTAAAATCCCAGCAAGATAGCGATCAGGCACCTTATCGGATCTTTTCGGCATCTGTTTGGGGGTTTGTTGAGCAAATCCCTCTGACGCATTCTCATATGCCTTCGATCTACCATATAAATATATACGGTGATAGCACAAATAATTTCAATCAAAACCAGCAGTATATGGATGTATGTACCTGCAAAGAATGGATACTTAAAACAGTTAAACATGTTGTACCTGCAAAGAATGGGGATAGAGCTGGTCTATGGTGAGTCCGGATTCATCGTATGCACGTCCCTTTTCAGTACACAGTGGCATCGCTTGAGTCCAATATCAGTTCACTCATCATTACTCTTTATTCAAAGAACCTGCAACACACTGCCCCCACCCAGGGGTGAAACCGTTCAAGACCATCAGTATTGTAGCATGGAGGGTCAACTCACTTCCTCTTCCAAGCACAACGATGTGTCTTGTCTTTGTCAGTATTAACAAAAACATCTTCGGGAATCTGGGTGTTGATTCCTCCGTGTCTGTCACTTGTGTACCTCAAATCTGACAAGCAAATCCCTTGATCATAAGTCGCAATAAACATGCTGACATCCATACTTGGATCTATTTGATACGTTTTGATAGTCATATAAAGCACATAAAATCCCATGGAGCACCGATCGAACATTGCCTCGTGCTGTCGTCGGTGCTCATCAAAGTCAGCCTGGAGCAGCAAAATTTGCCACGGCTTGTTTCGGGCCCGGCAAAGAATGGGACAAACTAACATAGCTATGGAAAATCACAATTTTTAATGGGTAAATCCACTATAAATGGCCATTTTCAATAGCTTTGTTTGTTTACCAGAGGGTATATAATTTGGATATAATCCCTGTGAAGTCAGTAAGTTGGATAGACCACCGAACGCTCGGTGGTAGTCACTTGGATATAATTCCTAGTGAGGTGCTTTAAGATCAAGCTATCATAGCTAATCTACCTAGTCACCATTAAATCACCATTAAATCCCCATTGAATCATTATTGAACCCCATTAAATCCCACTAGATCCCAATGATTTTGCTGCGTTTTGCGGGGAAGAGAGCAAAACTCTGAACATCTCTCAAGCATCCGCAGACTTTGGTGATGTTCCCCATGGATGTAGATTTCAACAGCCTGAACATTGGACGATATGGAAATAGAATGGCAATATCAACATAAAATGCCTAGGCCGCATAGCGTTTTAGGTGCCTTCTTTGCCATGCTTGCAATAATTCTGCTAACCAATGAATGTCTATCCTTTTGATCGGCTACAGTACCCAGTGACTTTTTGGGGGCACGGGGTTCTGAAATGTTTTCCATTGGAAAACATGGTCCTTGATTGGATATTATGATATTATCATTTAGTGTGGGAAAAACATGGGAAACACAAAAACATGTGATACCACCATTGGGTTTTCTAATAAACCCTCACTGTTTACTTTGTTTATCATCAGAATCGACAATGGCCAAAACAATTGTTTAAATGACAAAGACCCATGTATCACTGGAGCGCTTTATTGCTTATTCCATTTACAACGGGCCAAACTTTCCATGAACACATTAACTATACATCTTCCGTGGCTCCTGCACATCCAAGTACATACTCGCAGTCTGATTTATAATTCATCTTCACTTCACATTTGGTTGGCGAGATATTTCTTTGCTGGCGGTATCTGTCGGTCATCTACCAAACTGGCAATCAATCCAAATAGACCTACCAGGTTATATCGTTGGGTATTATAAAACGTTTTCTTTTGTGACTTTAAAACACACCTAGTTCTGGTGATATGTCATGATATATCTCCACACCCAAGGATGATCCTGTTTTTCGCACCTTTGAGGTGCGGAAACCCGTGTGGTCCTGGCACGGACAGAGCGATCGACAGTGACCGGGTGGATGGATTCTTACCATTTGAAATACCCCGGTGGCAAATGATATTATATCTGGTGATAAGAATTATGGTTAACCATATTATGGTGATATTGTTAAGAATGTAAGAATCATCTTATATCAGCAAATGATATTATGGTGATATTGTTGATATTATATCTGGTGGGTGGTGCAATAACAATCTTGAAAAATATGAAAGAAAATGGGAAGGGGGGTTTTAACCATCTTGAAAAATATGAGTTCGTCAATGGGAATGATGACATCCCATATATGAAATGGAAAAAAACAAATGCTTGAAACCACCAACCAGATATGATCATACTATGGGGGAAATGATCCATTAATATTCTGGAGATAGCTAATTTCAAGGAATACCTTGAAATGTCGGTCATATTGTCCACCAACAACCTCTGATGGATTATACATGGGCAAACAACCAACAACGATGATACAAAGGTAACCTTCTAGCATCAAGGCATCGTGAAGAAACCAATCGGTTTTCACGTCAGTGTGGTGGGCATGTACCTAGACCAACTGGAGGCGGATGATCCGTGCGATGGATCGATTCGAGGCGCGGAATCCTTCATGATGTTGCCTGACACCAGAGAATTGCGAGCATTTGGATTCCACTACATCACATCTTCTATCCATGTGGGTTCTGGGGAAAATTGGGTAGCCACTGCGCTTCAATCCCTGGACCTCAAACATTTCATTTTCAACATCAGTCCCGGATCCTCAAAGTACTTCACAAAGAGCTTGGACATCTCCGAATCGTAATGGGGATGCTCCAAGCAGTGCAACTTCGTCAAGGACCAGAAAGCCTGGAGACGCAACACGGGTGGGCAGCACATGAGGGTTGGTAAACTTCCAAGGTACCGGTGGGATGATCGAGAAGTTAGGAAGACCCACTATTAAAGTATGAAGACTGTTACAGCTATATAACATTTAACATGTATAGTAACTCAATTACGATGTTATGCGGCGTGCGGTTGATAGGGTGTATTAACAGCTGGTGTTTGGTTCATAAATCTTACCTTCATGGATCATAAGAGAGTGCTGTACAAATACAGTATATACATTATTTGTCTTAGCGTTAGTTCTTGCCATTGCAACCCAAAGTGACGCACTCAATTGCTCACTTGGTCGGTGTATAAAAAGAATCCCTTAGCCAGTGTCAACCTGCACCTTCTTAGGGGAACCTGGGGTAGTTGACTCCCCAGTTGATTCAAGAAGTTTCCCAAATTGCTGATCTTCCTACCCTCCAGGTCAGCAAGCTCTGAACCAAAAAAGTGGGATCTAGCAATTTGGCACCCTTCCCAAAACGGTCAAACGTGGACAAATGTTCAAAACAACACAAAACACAGAAATTGACCACTTACCTTGGTATGTTCGCACTTTTTTTTTGGACATCGCCAGGATTTTGTAGACCTTCAAGGTCCAGGTGTCGGACCAGTTCGTTCCTCTTGAACTGTGGAGCCCCAAGGAAAATCATGGACAAAAGAGGCAACACTCTCCCAACCAAAAAGACAAGAACATCAACATAATCAGCCATAATATCAATGGATTGGTTTAAGGGAAAATCTACAGGAAACCATAGATTTTCCCATTAAATATGGGGTTTTCCTGTAAATTTTCCCTGAAACCAATCCATTGATAATAGAAACAGACTCTCACTTTTCAATATCGACATTCCAAACCATTGAATATCGACAATAACATCCAGATAACACCCATTCCCAGCAACTAAGTATTGAATATTGACAAATAAAAGTCTATTCCCAAAACCCAATTCCTGACCGGACCTTAAAGAACTGACTATTCTATCTTCCTCGATGCTACATAACTATCGTCAGTACCGCCTCTCGGTGAAGCTCAAAGGCGTGCACCGGCTGTGCTTGGGATCGCAGCACCTGCCGGAAACTGCATCTCTTTCGGGTGTTTCATGATGGGTAAAGGCTGCCATCCCAATGAGAGAAAGCAATATATATATATATCATATTATGAAACTATTGGGCAAAACCGTTTCATGGGTAAAACCTATCATTATATATATATATATCATTGAAATAGGTTTCCAAATATGTTTTGTTTTTTTTGGGCTGTAGTCCTCACTTGGACTTGCAATGGAGCCTAACCTTGGTTGAGCCATGTCCAAAACTCAATTGCAGACTGATTCTCCTGGATGTTTCTAACCTGTTTAACCAAACAGCTGAATCCAAATAACGTACAAATAAGCACGGGCTCAGTTGCATCACTATCTTGATTTTGTCTCAGGGGCAACCAATGAATCAAGACAGACTTCCAGTATTCAAAGATTCAAATTGCTGTACATGGCAGATCGAACCTAACGTAAACGGCCAAAGGGGTTTGGTTGAATTTGGACACGCTTTTGCCAGACTATTGGCAATGTTTAGTACAAACCAATTTGGTCTTTGCAAGGTCTTCCATTGATCGATATAATTCAAAGGCAGGGCCAAAACATCGTTCAATCAGGACAAACAAACAAACTACCCTTGAGTAAACTAACATAGCTATGGACATCACGATTTGTAATAGGAAGCGCAGGTGAAGCATCAAACTAAATGGGCTGCTTCCAAGTAGCTACGTTAGTTTACTGGAACTATTCTTAGATGATTTGCCTTAAACCGACGCCTTCAGGGCCACTTTTCCCAAGCCCCCTGTCATGTCTTCGGCCAAATAGACCACCTCATAGCTGCAGCTGGATGTATAATGGAGATGAATAGTCCACGGTGTGGCATGGGTTTGCCGAATATTGTGGCTTTAACACCATTTTGGTGGCAGTTTCAAAGAAAACAGAAATGATTGACCGTTATATTTTGGGGTAGGTGTTTCCATATGCTCGGTCTCGTGGATCCAATTAGACGGATTTGGTGCTTTATTTCCAAACGAGACAATCTCATCAAGTGAAACAGCATCCATCCACACATATACCCTTGTCTTTCGCTAAAATTTGGATCTCAAAACCTTTACAAGTGTTCTGATTGGTTGCAATATCTACCGTTTATTTGCGCATCATTTCGACTTACTGATTACTGTCGTAGTGTAAGTTGGTCATTTCCGCGTATGGCCTAAAAAACAACTTATTTGTCAACAAGTGAGAGGCCACGAGGCAAATCACTGGTTGGGATATCCCCCGTTCTTCTCCGACCTCATAAACTTCAATATCCACTGTTTAACTTGTTTCACTCATGGCCAATGATTTGGGAGTAGTGTTGATATATGGTGTTAATGTTGCTTGTCCAGATTTTTGGATAGGAAAGAAAATGTACGAAACCATGATGTCCCCACTTTCTTGCATTCCCACTTTAAAAAAAACACCAACTATTTTGTGATTGTGTGTGGTACTCCATGGACTCCATGGTGATACTCCCGCTCTACTCCATGTTACAACCACGTTTCACCCTTGATTTGGGCAGGGGTTGATTCCATAACAGGGGGGTAAGAGGAAGAAAAGTGAGTTTTTACCAGTTTGATACCTATACTATACCCTATCATTTCTATCATGATGGAATGTAAAATTATGTTCGATCACTTTAGAGCCACAGGTTCAAAGCAAGATGGTGTCATTTGGTGCGGGTTCGTCTGAACAAAGGGTTACCCAACTCAAGTTTTTGATCATCATACGTTGTATGGAAAAAAACTGTTGTGCATTTTGGGGTACAATTCTAGTTTTGGACAAAGTCGCGTTATACAGTTGGTTATGTTCCCACAAAAGGGATGGTTCTATTCCCAAAAAAGGGGTGGGCTAATCCCCTGGGTCTTAATTTTTCCTGTTTCAAGTATATCCCTTCCATACAAGAGCCTTATATATGCATTGTCGTTAGTTGTGAGACCTCAGCAACCCCAAGTGGGTCCCGGGTAAATATAACAAGCAATCTGTTCGACACCATGTTCTGTTGGTTGGTCTATGCAATTACATGTACACGGAGATAAAGCGAATCGATCATAGACTCAAAGGTTGGTTCCTGTAAACAACATATATGTGTTCATTTTATGGTTCTCCTCTGGTTTCCAAGTTTGTATTCCCAGTTCCTTTGATTGTATCCCTTATTCGTGGAACAAACCTATGGAAAACATATATCCAGAGAGCCATCGCTGGAAACAAACCATTACAAAAAGATCAAATAAATTCAAATTTTGGTTCCTTTTTCTTAATTGGTTGCTTCATAGGGATTCCCACTACGGGCCAAAATGATCCCAATAAGACAGGCAATATTACCCCTATAATGATCAATCAACTGTCATTTGTCAACTCCACCCGGTACTATTGATGGTTGACACTCTACTACTGTTGATAAAATCACATGTATGTAGCTCCAACAATTCCTGGAATCACTGATGTTCCATGATTTTTGCCGTATTAGACATATTAAACATAGTTAAATCAGTGAACCCCCACATATATTCCATAGTTTATACCTTTAAACCTTCTATAAATCATGGAACTCTCCAAAAAAAAACATCCTCCACCAGGGCCACACCTGTCAAGGTCGCTGGGCTGCCCCAACGGCCAGGCCACCACTGCCCAGCACCCGCAAACGCCTGCCGCCACTGAATTGCAGGGTATTATACCAACCAGACATATAAAATGATAGGTTATCTATTGTTGAAATATTTTATGAAGTGAAATATATATATATATTAATTGTTACCAAATGAAATTAATTGGTTATCTATTGTTGAAATGTAATAGGATTACAACATTCTATTGGTTATTTATTAACATGAAAAACATGAACCAACAAAAAATGAGGGTCAGCTCGGTTTGACCAACAGGGATTTGGATTTAACTGTCAAAAACGGAAGGTTAAAAACTAAAAAATGCTGAATTTTGAATTGACCAAACAGATTTGGAGATTGAACCAAGCAATATGGGAATTCAATGAACAAGGACCCGTTGGGGTATCGTTTTGGACTCCCCAAAAAATCTCCATGTCAAGATGAAACAACTCATAGCTTGGGGTCCATGATTTTGATATGTACCCATCTCCGCGCAAAAAATCTTGTTGGTGTACTGTGTGATGTGTGAATCAATTGGTTACCCCAGAAGGTAAAATGTCTAATCTTCGGTTTATCCTTGTTTAGGGCCTGTGGATATTGATCTAGGTATTTGTGTTCTCTGTTCAAAATCCAATGGATCCAGAAACGGTGGATCAATCACAAAAAAAACATAATGGATCAATACCAATCGATCACAAAACTATGCTGAGGATAGGATCTTACAATTTCCTCAGCATAGTTTTCTTAAACTGGAAAAAAAACATGGATGTGATGGCTGGAACAATGCAGGGATGACCAGCAGAAATTGGGTAAAACGTCAGCCAAAAAAAGGAACATCACCAAGAACAAGTACGCAAGTCATTGCCAAACATGAAACCGCATTGTTGGTGGATCAATGACCACAACACCAATTTGGTGAACAACCAACAGGCCAACAAATGTCCATCAACCCATTTGATGTCCAACGCGTGTCAAAAAAAACTTAGACCCCAGGAATCTGTAGATTCTGGGAATTCACCAGCGGTTTTCAATCTGAAACCACCCAATTTCAAGGTGATCTTCCCATGGCCAACCTGAAACTCACCTCGCTACTTCTTCGCCTCCAACGACCCGTGTTGGATACGGCGTCATACGGATCTGGGAAGAAGTCCGTCAACCTGCCCGCGGGCTGCAGTCCCCACATAATTGTGGTTGGAGGAGTTTGGAACTTAGGTTTTAGCGAAAACTCAAGCTTCAAGCTTCAGGATCGCCAAAGAAGATTGGCCAATAAACATGTTCGTACCCTATAGAAACCACCTAGTTTCCACCAGTTCCGAACGGGTTGCATATGATTCTGTTCCAGTATGTTGGTCATGTTCAACTTTCATCCATTTTCTCATGGCTCCCAGCTATCCAGCGGCAGATAATTGAGCCCCATCGACTTCAGCTGCCTGAAAGACATGGTTGTGGCAAGCACCGGAAGGTCTGAGCCAAAGGAATGACTTTAGAGACAAAGATGGCGATTTTTGTTGTCACCCGGGAATGTGCAGACTAGCTAGTCATTTTCAAGACAATGTCGGTGATTTGGGGCGATCAATTTGGAGCCACATTCATTTATGTCAGTGGAGTGCTGTATATAGTTGGAGGAAAAATCCACTAGAGGATGTGACTGGGCACCCGAATACAAATTTCAAGATTGCAAAATGGCATTGGTATTCAGGCTGAAAGCTTGTCAACAAGTGGAACAGCTATCTGATGAGGAAGGGCTTTATCATCCTGATAGGTCGCGGGCCCAGTTGCAACGCAAAACGGAAGGGTCTAAAGGGCCAAGACTTGACACATTTTGTGGGAATTGTAAGGGCGAACTTTGAAACATAGCTACATCCACACATATAATATAATATATATATATAATTACACAATTATAGTAAAGTAAAGTAAAGTATGGTATGGTAAAGTATGGTGTAGCATAGTATCGCATAGTATAGTAATGTATAATTTAGTATAGTATATATAGTAAAGGATAGTGTAAGTGTAATAAGCTAAAGTATAGTATATACATAGTTCAGACCATCTTCCAGCAATGCAAGCTTGCAACCTTCCAGTGCAAGCTCGCGGTAACCCCAGCTAGAAGAGTTGGAAAGGCCTTATGCAGTGACTTTGTCAGCACAATGAGGCGCAAACACAACACTCAAGCGCTTACATCTGTAGTGCCTTAAACTAGAGTACCTTAAAATCCAATGCTTTATGGTTTTACCATCCCCTTTTCCAACTAAAGTACCCGCACACTGTTTGGCGCCCTGTTGAACCCCTGCTAAAATCTTAACTCTTCATGAAATATTGTGCAAACCCTTTCCTGCACAAATCCATCTTTTGTCTCTCGGATTGCTTCGCTTCGCTGGATGTGCTCTGTGATGTGATCCTCAGCAGATCTAGGGGTGCCTGGGTGGAATCCAACAAAATGGCACCTATTTTGGGAGAAAAAAAGGGTTGTCCAACAATGGGGTATGAGTGGTATACCTCCAAAATGCCTAATATTCAACTGTGAAAAATGATGATAACTCTGAAATATTTGAAAACGAACATTGACTACTTTACAAAAGGTTGTGTTCGAGACATGAAGTTGCATGATGGAACATTGCAAACATCACAGAACAAACTGGTATTTCCACAGATGGGACCCATCCCATCCCCTGCAGCTGCAACGCGTTTCAGCCCTGGCATCAAATTTGGGGTGGGAAATGGCTGCCTCGGAAGTCCATGTGGGTGAGATTGCTGGTGTTTAGGATCTGTGACAAAGATTACCCATAAAAACCAGCATGGATTATCTGTTTTTTTTTCATTGTAAAATGGTTTTTAGGATTATACCTTAAATCTCACATCTTTATACATTATTGTAATGTGTGACAAAGATCATACCCATTTTATAATGAACACACGATTCACAGCGATCACCAGCTGAAAGTCCTCAGCAAATAAACATTGACGGCGCTCACCAGCAGATTCATTGCTTACAGTGTTTGGCATGTCTTGGGTTTTGAGCAAGTAGATATACCAGCACAAACTCACCAACTGGTTTTGCATGGGCAACTCCACCACCACGGCCAACTCCCACCACGGCGGTTGACGCTTCGGTCTAGGGAAGATTTGACTACATGACATGCAGGTATTGCGTGGGAAGGCACAATGATAAATCACGTGCACTAGCCACTGGAAGGGCCATCTCGATCTTCCCGAACACTTCTGCTCAATGAAATTCTTAAGGCACTATATATTCCAAAAGTAGGTTCTGGAACAACCACACTAGCCAGACCCATCTCACCAAACAAGTCCTGAAAAAGAACTCATTCCCCTTCAAGTTGAAACTAGCGCGCTTGAACCCTTAATCGGAGGTGGGATCCAACCCTGGCAGCTCTGTGGCATGAATCTCATGATGGACTGCATGTAGCAAAAAGTACTAGTCGTAAACCCCCAAAGATTGATGCTTCAAACTGAGCAATCACCAGCTATGTGTGAATTTTGATTGGTATCCCATCTTACCTCACTGCCAAGCAATGAACAAACCGGAAATTCAAAGATGGCCCCTGCCCCTTATCTCCTCCCCGGGCAACTGGCTCAATGAGCCGTGCAGCACGGGAATCGAGATCAAAATTTGTAAAGCTGTCAGCAGTAGATGGCCGTAAAACACATTCCTTTGGGTTCTGATCATTGGATGGGGAAAACACATATACAGTACAAACATACCCGCTGCCATCAGCTGGGCGATTGCACAGAATTGTCCTTGTGACGTCATTTCCTAATTTGCCACCACTCACCAGCACCTTCCTCAGTCCTCGTATTCCCCCGGCGCCGTATCCGGGAGACTCACCAACTCATGGCCGGCACCACCACGACGAATGCCACGGCGGATGGGCTTCGGGGTCAAGCCCTTCGTCAAGACCAGCGGCTCCTGTGGTGGGGGGAAACACGCCACCGCCTTGTCCGGGTGAAAGGTGATGGCCAAGACCTCTTGCGATTCGACCTGGGGGATCGCTGGCGGTTTGAAAGAAACAACTTTGAGGGATCTAAAAGTGACGAACCATGTAATAATAGCAGCTCATTCGGAGCTTACGAACAGCAATGGCAGGGCGGCTTAGCTCATCATCATCATCATCATCATCATCATCATCATCATCATCATCATCATCTCAGTGATCGTTGGAAATCTCCATTGGGGATGCACTAGATGAAGCAAACCAAACAGGAACTTTCACCGGGAAAAATGTCTGAAGGTAGGCCGTGAAATACCAAAACATGACTGAAAACTTCTGAAACCGGCATCCAAATATATTCAAATATATCCAGGTAAGAATGTATCTACTATCTACAGTACAGTAACTCTTGCGACCTAGCTGCATGGATGAGCTTCATTCCAATGACCTTCTTGGCCATCCCATCGCTGCACATCACCCAGCTGCCCAGTTTCAGATCGATGGCCTTCACAGTCGCGTCGTCGCCATCGGATGGGACCATGATGCGATGGTTGGGGGTGGTAGAGAACGGGACGGCCTGATCAAGCCTTGGCTGGTCAACCAGGTACCCCTTATATGGCTGGGAAGCAGCCAGCAAAGAAAACGTATACCAGTAGAAATGGAAGGCATCTTTGCAACCAACAAGCAAAACCAATATAGATCATAGTCATAGCGGATTGTAAACCAACATTGGCCTGGGTTCTGTGAGGGACCTATCTGCCGACAAGAACGGGTCTTAGTCACAACTCATTGGAAAGGGCCGTGCTCTTTATCTTATCCACTCTGTCTGATGTGCCATATATCCCAACTCGTGACTTCAAAATTCGATGACAAATCCATCCTGCTATACTCTTGACATCTCTTGACATCTCTTGACACTTTTTGCATCCGCCCCCTCGGCCGAGCCGCTCCAATTCCACCAGCTTCGTCGTTTTCTGCACCTCCGCCTTGATCACCTCGATGAGGTCGCCATCCGCCGACACGATCTTGGCACCCCTTTGCAGATCCTGGAGATGGACATGGTTTAGTTCAGGCCACTGAAACTAAGAACGAGGCCCAACCATAGTGTGAAAAACAATTGAATACTATCAAACAGTGTGAGAATTCTGAATATGTCCCGCAACATTATTCTTTTGCTAAGCCAATTTTCTCTAAGGCCATTCATGCTGGAAAACCCTACAGCAAGCGCCTCATCACCACCACAATATGGCATGACAAGACCCAAGGATCACTAGATCAAACCACCTAGTTCTGTTCAGCGGTGGTCATGTTGGACAGCCGTCCTTTGCCGCTGCCCACACCACTGACTTTGAGCTTGACTCATCCGCGGACTGTACATGTTGGAAGAGATATGGGGGCAAGAAGCAATGTGGCCCACCATGCCCTGACAAGTACCTAGTTGCAAGTTTTCGACCGCTTGAAAACCATATTAGTTGGGGTCAAGCATACATGAGAACACACTAACACAATAGAAAAAACAATATTTTGAAACCAGCCAGGTACGACAGTTGACTCTCCACTGACCAACAAGATGCCACACTCCCCACATCTCCAGCCACATCTCCAGCCACTTCGGCCACAACGTCTGCCGCCGTCGCCGTGTCCTCGACGAGGCTCCAGGAGCCCGGCTCCGAGGACTCGGGCGAGGCAGGAAGATCCGGCAGCGACCGGAGCTCCCGGGCGATCTCGGACGCCCTCGAGGCGAGCTTCGAAGAGCAACTATATGTTGGCTTCCTGGACTTCATCCGATATACAAGATGTCCCAACCAGCTTTTCAGCTGCTCGGTAAACTTTGTCATCTCGGAGTGGAGCTCCGAGCTGATATGTCCTTCCAGCTGCGACTGAACATCCTTGAAGGCCGCCACGAGATCCGCCAACTTCTTTTCAGTCGACATTGCCAAGGGGCTCTTCGAGATGCCACAGGTGTCAGATGATTCGCCTTTGAAACAGCCTGCATACCTAGCCAGTACGCAGATTTGCTTCCGCTGCACCTCTGCAGCTGCAAAGATCTCCCAGATCCGCCAATCTGCTGCCCCTTTTGAAGGAAGCAGCTTCTCTTCAATCGGCCTCAAGAGAAACAACAGATCTGATGCTGCTGATGCACACTTTCGGTCATAACCATCCTGCAGCTCCGGAAAGCGTCCAGCCATGCCCACAGCAAAATCTGCCATGGAGAGAATGTCTTTCTCTTCCAAGTTCATCTCTTTGATTTCCTTGACGCTCGACAGCAATGCTTTCCTTTCCACCCCTTCTGCATGGGGCCAGCGCTCCAGAAGCACTTGCACCTTGGCATAAATCCGCCTGAAATCCGAGGCAGACTCCATAGCCTTCCCGCTGCTCCGGACTTTGAAGGCTGGAACTGAGCTCCAGCAGCCACGGAGTTGTGTTACCACGTGATGAATGACATCTTAATTTTGAGCAACAACTTTGATCTGGTACATGAGGGAAGGAAAGAAGACTAAGTCACCACTGCATTGTTTACATACATGCATTTTGCATCATTTTGTGTATTCCAAGAAAAAACTCATCTGGTGCTGCCTGACCTCATTTACCAATGCTGTCATGGTGTCACCTTTTGGGATAGCTGGTCTAGAATCCCCAACTCGGTTTTGAAGTCCCACCCTTGGATTGTTCCGCACCAAACCACGGTGCTGACTTTTCCCAAACTACCCCAAGTTTCTGACATCACATCTCTTGCAGGTGCCAAGTCTCAGATCTTTGAGAACGCTCCGGAAAAACCTGGCATCTCCACCGAGTCAGCAGACGTTCTATGCCGACTGCTTGGAAGGCCTCGGCGTAGTGCTGGATGATACATAGCCAAGGTCCAACATGCAGGGCTGTATCCCGGGGTTTGAACCGACATGTTTCACCACAAAATGATTTAAAGATGGCTAGAGAAGCAAAAAAAAACTGCACTACACATAAACCCAACTTGTGACAGGTTTAGTGCACTTCTTAAACAGAGCGAGTAAAAAATAGAGAGTACCCCAATCAGCAAAGGAACATTGTTAACACATTGCCAGTACAGCGAAATGACAACTTTTGGAGATTCAACCATGGCATCGGCAGCATGGTTCAGTCCCGTCCCCATGGTCTTGGAGAATTGGGCATCCAACATCTGCCAATAATAAATGGGCTTACTATAAAAGCAGGATATATGATATATGCCATAGAAAAGGTTATATCAGTTTCCATTGGCATCTTTTCTATGGGATGTATCCCTGAAAATTTCCAAGGGGGAAACGTAAAAATGAACCAAACCAGGAAAATGCAACGATAGTCGACCGTGGAAACACTTCACAACTTTGCTTTGAGCCAATTCACCAATCTCACCCCTGACTCAACCCGTTAACGTCCTAAGATCTAGCTGCATCCCTCCCATGGCGCACCTCACACTTACATTGACATCGCTGGACAGAGATCGCAGCAGGCTGCGCTGCAAGGAATCGAGCAGAACCTTAGAACGGAACGCAGTTGAAGTTCCCAGCAAAGCATCCGCACAAGTTGGGAAACACAACAGTAGTGCTGTATGGCTACATGGATATCCCCATAAACGTGTCATAGACTGGGGATGTCATCAACAATTCAACAATAGTGACTCAGTAGTGCCTGCAGCCTCCTTACAGACATGGCTGTTGGTGCGAATGGGGGTCATCAAAGTAGGTGAGAAATCTCAGGTCCTTTCAAAGGAAGTTGTTCTGGTATTTCTGTATGTAGCATTAACCCATTGGCCATTGGTTGAGGTGTCGGGTCTTTCTCCCGTCTCAAAGAAGGATGTCACTATGTGCTCAGTGAAGGGGGCCAAACATGCCATGAAACAGTGCCTTACATAGATCCTAAGGCATCATTGGCTAGGTGGACTTCTGTTGGTTGTTAATAACCTCATAGCATCCAACTTCTGACTTCTCACATCTGGGATACTCTCGGGCTACACTTGTACACAGCTACAGGCCGTTTAGTTTTATGACCTCAAGTTCTGAGTTGAAGATCCATCCTCGTATGTGGGAACCCAGAGGGAACAAATCCAATACTAAAATCAAAGTTTCTGGCGTGTTTTCTGTTTTTGCGAAGGAAAGGATCAACTTAAGTTTTAGCTCGTTCAAAGTTCATACCCCCTATTTTTGTCGGACAAATATCCCACACGGAGCAGGGACTGACCACCAGGCTGGCCACTTCCTGTGCCAAGCGTCGCTACCATCACCACCAGGAAACCAGCGCCTGGAGGCGCAAGCCACGAGGTCTGCAGGGATTTAGTCATGGATCAGCCGTTGATGAATTTTAATCCTCCAAGTCATGACAGTTTCACCCAAAAAAAAGTAAAACAGGTGGGGGATGACACCAAGTTGGATCTCATCCTGATGATTGATACCCTACACAAAGCAAACAACAAATTCTAACCGAAACATACCGAAACCAAACAACCTACAGTCCAACACCACCTGCAAGCCTGTCTGGTCCGACTTAGGGGTACCACTAAAGCAATCCGATGAACCCTGGGGTTGGCTGATTGGTACCTAGAGATACATAGAATCTCTGGCCTCCAACTGCTCAATTCTATATGCATGATCACGTGGGTATATTATGACAAAAAGATGCGAAAAGGCCCCGCTAATAGTCTGGTTAACGTCAGGAACATCCCAATACCATTCATCAACTCAAACATTATTGGGTTAGATTGGGTTGATGTTTCTGTTCGTCGATCTTCCACTGCTTTTGTTTTTGGCATGAACATCTATTTCGAGGTCAACTGCTCACAACACTTGAGCAGGGATCATCCCAGAAACCGTGGATCCCTCGGGGAAGCTCGCTGACATTTGATAGCATCTATGAGAAAATCATGGCAAAAAACAACCGCGGTCATTCAGGGTTCATGTTTTGTAGCTTCCTTCAGGGCTCGTTACTCACCAAAAGAAAACATATCAACCAATTTTTCGATATTGTTGGTACCCTCTGGTAAACTAACATAACTATGGAAAATCACCATCTTTAATGGGAAAAATCACTATTTCTATGGCCATTTTCAATAGCTGAAGTATTGAAGTGACCGTGTCCATGACATCCTGCCATGGCACCTGTTCGGTGTCGTTGACATCGGTCATGTCGCCGAGGCGTTTGAAGTGCTGGGAGGTACCTGGGGAAGACATGGCATGGCCAGTTGTGGGATGCCGACACAGGGATGCGTGAAGCAACAACCATGAGTTCACATGTTGTTTGAAAAATGGTCTTGCTGTGTTAGTCGAATAGCATATGTCTGCCTATGTGGTTGTTTTGGACATCTTTTAGAGGACTTGCATAAATTGTGATTCATTCCCTCAAAAAGGGACCATTGCGGCTACACATCTAACTACAACCACAATTTGACAGTCATGGATTTTGCCAAACAATTCCCATGGAAAATGATGATAAACGATGAAATGGGAGTCATTTAACTCTGATATTGTCATCACAACCCAATGCTTACAACTTTACCACTTCTGGCATACTTCTGGCATCTTATGGCCATTGCTTGAAAACAATTCATCAAAGTCATACCCGCCTTCGATCCATCGATCCCTACACAGCCCAGCACTGTCTTCCAGGGGGCGCACCTCACAGCCATCTGCTCCCAGCTGTGCTGCACAGGCGCCCCAAGCCCCAATGCACTGGGGATGTCGGGATGTCATGGCATACCTGCAGCACAAACCTGCCAGAAACCCAAATAACATTGATAACCTTTACATTGAAACGAAACCATGCAAAACCTCTAAATCTATAACAGTCCAGAACTCGGAAAATAGAAATCTCTAGATTCTAGATAGGTAATTTTTCGTTGCTGAAGAACAGAAAACAATGACCAAACACTTGGGGAGATCCTGATATTTTCCCGTAACTGGGGTGGTTCATCCAAGCCACACGCATTTTGCCAATGTGGGTTTGACTTTGTCAAGATCCAAACATGCTATCTTACATTCCAGGGGAACCGGATATCTGCTGAGCTGGCCACAGTACTGCTTTGCAAGTATCCAGTCCGTTCAAAATGAATCTTATTTGGGATCTTGTGATGGCAAAATCAATCAAGCATATGGGGCTTTGTTCAGTGACACGCATCTGTAAAAAATGTAGAAACAACATTGTTTGCATGGGTTTCAAGGTTGAACCGGTTGAAAACATGTAGACATAGACCGCTTCCGTAATAAGACATGGAGAAGCAACATATATTATAGTACAGATAGCACACCGAAATCCCATGGTTTACAATCATTTTCCCAAAAGGAAATGCGGATCAACTGTGGATGCGGGTGTAAATCACTCAGGTTGAGACACGCCTATGTATCTATCTCATTGATATAACTCCATAACCCGACTATTGGGATTTTTTGGGCTTCCACACCACCATTGTTTGGGAATCCGGCGGCACAAGCCTGTAACGTGCCGCTGTGGCACGCCGAAGATCTGCCGCAGGAAAAGGCCTTGGCGGCGTGAGAAAAGTGGCTTTTGGTCGAGGGCAAACCACCAGAACGCATTGCGGTTTTAGAATGGTACCTCCACCAACAATAGAGAAAGTCAGGAAGAAGACTGGGGCTTAATTTGGGATGAACAAAATATGGGTTTGATTGGATACATTAAATTATATAGGATGTTGTGTGGAGAATACATACCCAACATAAGGGGCATATCCTGGAAATCCACTTTATGGAGATATGATAGTGATATAGCAATAATGTATGGGGGCTTTGAAAACCTATTTGCCAATGATCATAAATGAATATTGCCAACAGATTGAGACAACGCCCATGCCATTAAGTAATGTCGTTGCCTTCAGTCTTGTGGCTGTGCCCCATGAAATTGGTAGCAAGCAATACCCAACAAATGGGACTTCAAAAAACGACATTGGAAAAAATCGGCTTTTCCCCAAATAGATGAAACATGAGAACACTACCTCAAGCATCCATCAAGTATCATTTTTTCAAGGTTCCATTTTGGGTATGCTACCCTCAGTGCCAGAGTTTGGACATCCACTCATTCTGAAATTCAGAAAGAGCCTGACGCCTTGTCGGCTGCTTTAAGGGTTCCTAAGCTGGATCCCCATGACCTTCCACCCATCCCCACCGGACCTCGCGGTTAGCGGCGCCTGGAGCCGTGGAGATCGCTGGAGAGGAAAAGCCACGTAAGTTTCACACAAGTCGGCGCGTACTGAAAATGGTAACCAAACATTTGAAGGATCAAAGAATCATGGCATTTTCCTTGAACAAAAGATGGTTGATTAGAGTCACAGGCCTTGCGCCTCTATGATTCTTACTTTGCCAAACTCGAAGAAAAGGCCATCTTACCAACAATGAGGGGCCCTTACCATAACCGTGGTTTGTGTTGACGTCAGGTTGACATGAGGCTTCTCACAATTCAGCCAAAAAAAACAAACAATATGCCAAAGATCTTCCACAGGTCAAGTTGCGATCATCCAAAGTCACTGTTGGGATGAACGTGTGCACAACAAAACCAATCACAGATATCCCCATCAAACATCACAGTAAGATCAAGTATGGAGTCATTTTGGATTACCCCCTGGTAATCTAACATAACTATGGAAAATCACCGTTTTTAATGGGAAAATCCACTATTTCTATGGCCATTTTCAATAGCTTTTTCTCGGTTTACCAAAGGGTAACCATTAAACATCCCTGCCGGCCCATCCTGCACATCCTTCACATCAACTGTGCAGAAGCCCTTCAGCAGTTCGGTCGCCTCTGGTAGCTGCGCTACCTGATTCGGCAGGGCGCTGGTGTTGGCACAACCCAAGAAGCAAAACGCAACGCCACTTAGACATCGAGTTACCGCGCCTTTCAGGGAACATCATGGAACATCCTAGTACCATCATGTACCATCAATCAAATCTTACTCAATGGGTTTCCTTGCGGAAAAAAGTTGAAACTTTTTGTTGGGCTCGGTTCGCGCGCAATTTTTGGGTATAAAATAAAAGCCACCCACGCACGCGAACCTAACCTTAAAAGAAGCCCTTCCTGAGTCAGCAATTTTTGAATGAATTCTGGTGTTTATTGACATCCCGCCGTTTTTCTGGGTGAACTCGCTCTGATTAGTGAAGTGTGCTACTGGAAGCTAGCAAATTATCATTTAGATGAGATATCCTATTGGCCACAGTATAAGGATCATCCCAGAAGCCAATGATCCCTGCCCTGACCCCTTCACCATGGAATCATCATGGATAACATAATAGAATAAAGCGCCAAAAACCACACAAGTTAATGAATCAGTCTACTACCAATGTTGTTCATCTCTAGCTATTTCAGGAACCTGCCAGCAACCAGTTCTTGGATGTTTTGGCACGTCTTTACCCACCGCCATCTTTGCAGCTTGAATGCCCATATCCAAACGCCGCGCTGCGAGGCGAAGAGCTCCAGGAAGCCTCCAGAGGCCGACGCCTTGTGGAAACACAGCATTGAAACACGGGGAAACAAAGGCTTAATCAGCAAATATCGAGGGGTTGTACTGCTTTGTAAGATGAGCCAAGTCTCAAGATGTCTCAAGAGGTGTCCAAAGTTTGAAACAGTTGGAACATACATTTAAAAAAAAACACAAACACATAAAAATACAGCGCTTGGAGTCGGAATATTGTTATTCGAATCTTATTGGAGTCCTTGGGATGGCAAAAAACTGAAAGTACAGGGAACCACAAAGTAAAACATAGGACATGCAGTTGCATGAGATATGAAGGTGATTGAGGGTGTAAAGGGAACAAGGGAAGGACGTATGCAAAATTGTACACATCTGGCAACCCCCGAGCCCTTCAGCGCACGCCGAGCCACTCTGCAGCGCGTGCTTCATTGCCATGACACGAAAGCGCTGCACGACGCGATCCTGAGCAAATTCACCCGTGAGGAAGCAGAAACCCATCAAGATGTGACCTATTTCTTTGTATGAAAACGGTTGGGAAGAATTGGTCTTGGATTTTGATGTTGATGGATTGATGGGATTGGATGCAAACAACAAAAGATACGTGTCCGTGGGTCAAGTGGGTGTACGTGGTTCCAAAGTCACATCGCAACCTTTTCTCAGCTGTTGATTTGAACTGAAGATGAATTGAAATGTCAGAAGCAAAAAGCGGGGAGCCAGGGATTAGATGACCCAAAAGTAGGAAGTTCAACAGGAAACATTGGTTTTAGATTTAAAGGCAATTTCTCAACTAGGTGAATTAGGTGCCTAAATCTTCCCCTAGTATATCATAGATAGGTTGTTCTTCCCCGAGTGTTACACTCCCATGGTCCGCAGCCGCGACTTGTTCCACATGCCGCGGAATGGTGGTCATCAATTTTGGCCGGCCAGGCCGTTGCCTCTGATGTCCATGGTGGTGAGATTGCTGAGAGTGTCTCACTGACAGCAATTGCTGGCCGGAATTATCTACATCCTAGGTGGTTCCTTCAGTTACATGTACGGTAATGATTGGCAGAACATCTTGGCATATAACATGATATAACATGTTTTGATCAATATCTTATACATGGATGGCGCTGCTTATTTGTAAACTGAATAATGTTAAGATATGCTTTTCTCGCTTGTCCTATAGCCACCCATGCTATGGCCATCCTAGTCACCTGCTGTCCTTCCATCTGAAGAAAACTCCATCTGAACATATCCCAACCATTGGTCTCACCAACAAAATGTGTTCAGCTGATCACCCCAGCAAACTCACCAACTAGGTGCGTAACTCGCACCACCCTGGTTGACACTTCGGTCGTGGGAAGATTGATTTCAATACATGACATGCAGGTATTGCGCGGAGAAGCACTATGATAGATCATGTGCTCTGGCCACTGGAAGGGCCATCTTAATCTTCCAAAGCTGCAAACAAACACCCACCTGCGAAAAAACCGGTCGGGTGCAAACTGATAGAGTTCTGTGGACAAAAAAAAACTCACCATAACAGGCACCAAAGGAAATTCAGATGGCCCTAATCCCTTCATCTCCTCCCCAAGCAGCTGGCTCACGGAGCCGTGCTCCAGGTGTAACGAGATCAAAACTGATCACAAGCTGCCCAGGTGGCTGCGGAATGGAAACTGATTCGGACCAAGGATTCTTCAATCATGTTCAACCAATATTAAGGATCTAAATTCATTAGTCACAATGGTCAACAAAACTAATGGCGCGCAGCATATATCATAACCCCCCACAGGCAGCTTGCACAATAAGCTTGTCCTTGTGACATCACTTACTAAACATTCTTGCTCAGTTCATCTCAGTCCTCATATTCTCCAGGGGCTGTATCCGGGAGACTCTCTGACTCATGGCCACCGCTGCGACCTTTGCCTTTGCCACGGCGGGTGGTCTTCTCCGTCAAGCCCTTTGAAAGAACCAGCGGCTCCTGCGGCGGGAGGAAACACGCCACCGCCTTGTCAGGTCGGAAGGTGATTGCAAAGACCTCTTGAGGTTTGACCTGGGAGCAAGTGACAGGACAAAAAAACATGCAGTCTGTTCACTTGCCTGAGAGACTTCAAAATGAACGAAGTTCAAAGAGGGTATACGTATGTATACGTTAACATGGTGTAAACAAATAAACACCCTGCTGCAATTCCAACAAGGGCCTACGGAAGGGATAAGCATTCTAAAGGAAGCAACTATACTAATAAATTCCCTTTCAAATTGCAAGGTCTGTGGGTTCAACTACCCCGGGAACATGTTGATCAATTTGCGGATGCGCAAAGTGGCAGCACAGAAAACAACAAAGTCACACATCAACATCAACCAGCCAAAATAATGTACGTCTGCAACCAAGCTGCAGGGATCAATTCGATTCCAAGGACCTTCTTGGCCACGCGATCGCTGCACATCACCCAACTCTCCACCTTGAGATCCTTGGCCTTGACTGTCGCATCGTCGCCATCAGGGGACGGAACCATGATCCGGTGGTTGGGAGTGGTACAGAAAGGAGCTGCCTCATCGATCCTCAGTGTGGATCAAGTTTTAGAATCAGAAACCATTCTGGATGGCCTTGGCAATCTATTTTGCATAGGATGTCACTTGAAACGAATCTGCTGGGCTGCAAGCAACTCTTGGTCATAGTTTGTTGGAAAGGATCGTATTCATTCTGTGCAAACCTGACCTAGTCTCACGAGACATAGGTGTTAGTAGATGGTATGATGATGTGTGAATACGGTTTGCCCAAAATGGGGTATAGCCCACTCCAAACTTCCCATTTGAATTGGGAGAATGAGGAGAGTCCATGGGAATTGTGAGCACCACATTTCCAAACAAAGCAACAAAATCCATAATCATTCTTTTCCTTTGTCCATGCCATCTGCATGGACACCTGTCAGCCAGGTCTCTTCAGTTCCAACAGCTTGGTGGTTCTCTGCGCCTCCACCTTGATGACCTCAATGATATCACCATCTGCCGACTCAATCTTGGCACCTTTCCGCAGGTCCTGCAAATCAACATGCCAATGTGGGCAGTGATCATAAACCTGTTCAACCTTCCTGTGCACAAGAATGTGGTAATTATGCCCCAGCAAACCCCCATGGGCTTCCCGTGCTACTTGTTTGGGGAGTGACCTGCAAGAGACCCTATTTTAAACAAACATGCAGAAGTGCGGCTTTGAAAACTGATCCCTTTGCAGTTCCCATCGATTCTTTTGTCCACCACAACACTTGCTTTCATCATGTTGGGATTAATGTGCTAGTCATCATGTCCTACAGGGAGGCAGGATAATGGGTCTATCAGCGCCAAAAAAAAACCGAGCAGTTAGTTCTGATCAGAATTGCATCAATCTGAAACTAATGTTGTACTCCTGTCCTTTGCCGCTACCCAGGCCATTGATTTTGAGGATGATTCATCTGCAGACTGCAGCTGGTGGAAGAGATAGGACGGCAAAAAGCAATGTGGCCCACCATGCCCCGAGAGGTACCTAGTCGCAGGGGGCTGAGCCCTGGAAAGTACTAATCATTGCTAATTGCTAATCATTACTAATCATACAACCCTCTGGGATCAACCATATCAACAACTAAAACGGACTGGGGTCAACCATATCAACAATTTGGCAGAAACGGAAAGAACAATTTTCATAAAACCACCAGCCAGGTACGACATCTGACTCTCCACTGACCAACAAGATGCCACACTCCCCACATCTCCAGCCACATCTCCAGCCACTTCGGCCACAACGTCTGCCGCCGTCGCCGTGTCCTCAACGAGGCTCCAGGAGCCCGGCTCCGAGGACTCGGACGAGGCAGGAAGATGCGGCAGCGACGAGAGCTCCCGGGCGATCTCGGACGCCGTCGAGGGGAGCTCCGAAGACAACGAGATGTGCTGCTCGAATATATATGGTGGCTCCCTGTACCTGATCTTCATCCTACCTACAAGATCTCCACACCAGCTTTCCAGCCGCTGGGTAAACCATGTCATCTTGGAGTGGAGCTCCGAGCTGATATGTCCTTCCAGCTGCGACTGAACATCCTTGAAGGCCGCGACGAGATCCGCCAACTTCTTTTCAGTCGACACTACCAAGGGGATTTCTGCCAGGCCAGAGGGGTCAGGTGATTTGCCTTTGAACCAGCTCGCATACCTAGCCAGTACGCAGATTTGCTTCCGCTGCACCTCTGCAGCTGCAAAGATCTCCCAGATCCGCCAATCTGCTGTCCCTTTTGAAGGAAGCAGCTTCTCTTCAATCGGCTTCAAGAGACACAACAGATCTGGCTTCAAGAGACACAACAGATCTGGTGCCATGCCCACAGCAAAATCTGCCATGGAGAAAATGTCTTTCTTTTCCAAGTTCATCTCTTTGATTTCCTTGACGCTTGACAGCAATGCTTTCTTTTCCACCCCTTTTGCATAGGGCCAACGCTTCAGATAGACTTGCACCTTGGCATAAATCGGATTGGGAGTTGATGCAGGTTCCATGGCCTGCGCGCTGCTCCCACTCCAGGGCTGCCAGGGCTGGAACTGAGCACTGGTGGCCACTGTTTATCTAACCATGACATTAGACTGCCATCAAAAGAATCTGAAGTGACCCGCTGAAACTTATGCCTTTCTCACATCACCCGATGTCAAATATCTCACTGCAACTTCTGTATTATTCCCCAAACCGGCCCACATTCCATCACACACCACACAAATTCTTGGGATATCCCACACGTTTGCCGCTGTGACACGCCGGAGATCTGCATCAACAACGAATGCTCGAGAAGCCTTGGCACAGTGCCTGGTGATACTCCAGGTCCAACATGCAGGGCTTCATCCCGGGGCTTGAATGGGAACGTATGTTTGATCACAAGTGGTAAAGTAAAGATATTGAAGTTGGGGACAAAGAAATCAAACATACAGCTCAATTAAAGTCACCCAACTTGTAACACACGATATTTCAGATTATGATCTTACCAAACAGGAAAAGGAGAACAACATCGACTTCGACCCACTGATCATATCGCTTTTGTAGTGAAATTGGGGTGCTGTGCCTCAAACCTGCCAACAAACCATGGAGCCTCTAATCCCCGGGCGAAAATAGGTGGGTTCAATGGTTTCCACAATCAAGAAAAGTGGGGACAACTAAGCAGTACTGACAGGATCTAAATAAGAGATATATCAAACATCACTAAACAAATCATCAACACATGAGTACAGGATATGGATAGTGATATATCAATCTGACAATATAAACACATAAACAAATAATCAACAAATTATATCTAAAATGAGTACGTGTCCAATGGACATTTGAAACCCTCAGCAGATCACCAAAGCCTGGGCCTCACACAGGTCCCTCGGCAGGACACGCAATGACCGAAACATACCGATCGCGCTACCTAAAACCTGGGGAAAATCAGTGGATTGGTTCAGGAGACCATTGTCTTAATCCCATCTAATACGGTGTTAAACATCCTGGTTGGTGCTTTCAACCCCTCTGAAAAATATGAAAGTCAGTTGGGATGATTCTTCCCAATATATGGAAAAATAAAATTCATGTTCCAAACCACCCACCAGATATGATGTGTGCAATAACATCAATAACTATCTTAAACTACTCAAATGCAACAGGAACCAGCTGTCATAATCCTCCCTGGGAGTCTTTGTGGATAAAGCAAGAAACCCTGAACCAACAAATTCCTATATCAAAAAACGGAGAAGTGATCTGGGGAATCAACAACTCACATTGTGAATTGACCATCCAAGTAAATATGGAAGATGTAATACAGTTAACCATGGAAGCACTTCACAACTTTGGCTTGAACTACTGCAGCCATTCACCAGGCTCTTCCCCGACTCAACCCGCTATTAATCTAGCAGCATCCCTCACATGGCGCACCTCACACTTCCATTGACATCGCTGGACAACGCACGGGCTTGGAACCTTGGAGCGAAACACAGTGGAAATCCCCAGCATGCCATCAACGTCAAAACATCAACGTCTGTATCTGTCTTATATGTAGAGACTTCAGGATCAATTATTGGTTTGTAACTTCTACGGCTGTAATCTGGTTTGTAACTATTGTTTTATTCTCACCAGCTGGATATCATCTCACCACTGGTGGCAGCAGCCTCCATACAGTACTCGCTTGTTGGAGCGGCACGAGTCACAAAGTGGCCGACGGCAAAATACCATTAAATGGGAAAGCCAAGAGCCTGTCAAGGGACATTGTTCTGGGAGGCATGTGTGTATTTGCCAACCCATGTTTCCGAATATTTCAAAAGAAGGCATTTGTGTAAAACAGTGTTTGATATATGGATGAAATAATGCAACTCCTCAAGAATACGGCCAATTGCTTGGATTTCAAAAAACATATCATTGGCTAAATTGCCTTGCGCTAAAGTCATATCCAACTTCTGACCCATCTGGGATATTCTGGGGGATGGTCAATCCCAGCCCCTTGATAATCCACCTTCCTATGAACCCGATGTCAAAAAATCCAATACTTAACCAAAGGTTCTGGGATGTTTTTTCTATTATATGATATGGAAAAGGATTATAGTAAACCCAACTGGCCAGAGGTTTCCATCTAAACACGTCCTTGGAGATATCATGAAACCGCCAAGCGTACCCTGGATATGATTCGTTAGTATAGCAGTGATGAAAATTGTTTGTATACTAGATATTGTTTGCATATATAGACTAAATGTCGACGTGTAAATTCCACCTCTGACATTGACGATCAAATTGTGGGGGTAAACCGCATGGCTTTCCATATCTGTTTCTTAACCCAAGGGGAAACCTTAGAACGGAACGCAGTTGAAGCTCCCAGCAAAGCATCCGCACAAGTTGGGAAACACAACAGTAGTGCTGTATGGCTACATGGATATCCCCATAAACGTGTCATAGACTGGGGATGTCATCAACAATAGTGACTCAGTAGTGCCTGCAGCCTCCTTACAGACATGGCTGTTGGTGCGAATGGGGGTCATCAAAGTAGGTGAGAAATCTCAGGTCCTTTCAAAGGAAGTTGTTCTGGTATTTCTGTATGTAGTATTAACCCATTGGCCATTGGTTGAGGTGTCGCGTCTTTCTCCCGTCTCCAAAAGGGATGTCACTATGTGCTCAGTGAAGGGGGCCAAACATGCCATGAAACAGTGCCTTACATAGATCCGAAGGCATCATTGGCTAGGTGGAATTGTTAATAACTTCATAGCATCCAACTTCTGACTTCTCACATCTGGGATACTCTGGGGCTACACTTGTGCACAGCTACAGGCCGATTAGTTTTATGACCTCAAGTTCTGAGTAGGATAATTGATTGAGTTGAAAATCCATCCTCGTATGTGGGAACCCAGAGGGAACAAATCCAATACTAAAATCAAAGTTTCCGGCGTGTTTTCTGTTTTTCTGTGGAAAGGATCAACTTAAGTTTTAGCTCGTTCAAAGTTCATACCCCCTATCTTTGTCGGACAAATATCCCACACGGAGCAGGGATTGACCACCAGGCTGGCCACTTCCTGTGCCAAGCTTCGCTACCATCACCGCCAGGAAAGCTTCGTGCCGTTGACTAGGACCTTTCCAGCGCCTGGAGGCGCAAGCCACGAGGTCTGCAGGGATTTAGTCATGGATCAGCCGTTGATGAATTTTAATCCTCCAAGTCATGACTGTTTCGCCAAAAAAAAGTAAAATAGGTGGGGGGATGACACCAATTTGGATCTCATCCTGATGATTGATACCCTACACAAAGCAAACAACAAATTATAACCGAAACATACCGAAACCAAACAACCTACAGTCCAACACCACCTGCAAGCCTGTCTGGTCCGACTTACGGGAAACACTAAAGCAATCCGATGAACCCTGGGGCTGGCTGATTAGTACCTAAAGATACATAGAGCCTCTAGCCTCCAACTGCTTAATTCTATATGCGTGATCACGTGGGTATACTATGATAAAAAGATGCGAAAAGGCCCCGCTAATAGTCTGGTTAACGTCAGAAACATCCCAATACCATTCATCAACTCAAACATTATTGGGTTAGATTGGGTTGATGTTTCTGTTCGTCGATCTTCCACTGCTTTTGTTTTTGGCATGAACATCTATTTCTAGGTCAGCTGCTCACAACACTTGAGCTAGTAAATGATTGCTGACCGGGGGATGTATCCCTGATAGGATTGGCAGGGATCATCCCAGAAACCGTGGATCTCTTGGGGTAGCTGGCTGACATTGGATAGCATCTATGAGAAAATCATGGCAAAAAACAACCGCGGTCATTCAGTGTTCATGTTTTGTAGCTTTCTTCAGGGCTCGTTACTCACCAAAAGAAAACATATCAACCAATTGTTCGATATTGTTGCCACCCTCTGGTAAACTAACATAGCTACGGAAAATCACCAATTTTTATCTGGGAAAACTCACTATTTCTATGGCCATTTTCAATAGCTGAAATGACCGTGTCCATGACATCCTGCCATGGCACCTGTTCGGTGTCGTTGACATCGGTCATGTCGCCGAGGCTTTCGAAGTGCTTAGGTAAGAGCCTGGGGAAGACATGGCATGGCCAGTTGTGGGATGCCGACACAGGGATGCGTGAAGCAACAACCATGAGTTCACATGTTGTTTGAAAAATAATCTTGCTGTGTTAGTCGAATAGCATATGTCTGCCTGTGCCTTTGTTTTGAACATCTTTTAGAGGACTTTGCACCAAGTGTGATTCATTCCCTCAAAACGGGACCTTTGCGGCTACACATCTAACTGCAACCACAATTTGACAGTCATGGGTTTTGCCAAAAAATCACGTGGAAAATGACGATAAATGATGGAATGGGAGTCATTTAACAACTTTGATATTGTCATCACAAGCCAATGCTTACAACTTTACCACTTATGGCATACTTCTGGCACCTTATGGCCATTGCTTGAAAACAATTCATCAAAGTCATACCCGCCTTCGATCCATCGATCCCTACACAGCCCAGCACTGTCTTCCAGGGGGCGCACCCATCTGCTCCCAGCTGTGCTGCACGGGCGCCTGAAGCCCCCAATGCACTGGGGATGTCGGGATGTCATGGCATACCTGCAACACAATCCTGCCAGAAACCCAAATAACATTGATAACCCTTACATTGAAACGAAAAACCATGCAAAACCTTTAAATCTATAACAGTCCAGAACTCGGAACACAGAAATCTTTAGATTCTAGATAGGTAATTATTCGTTGCTGAAGAACAGAAAACAACGACCAAACACTTGGGGAGATCCTGATATTTTCCCGTAACTAGGGTGGCTCATCCAAGCCACACGCGTTTTGCCAATGTGGGTTTGACTTTGTCAAGATCCAAACAGGCTATCTTACATTCCAGGGGAACCGGATATCTGCTGAGCTGGCTACAGTACTGCTTTGCAAGTATCCAGTCCGTTCAAATTGAATCTTATTTGGGATCTTGTGATGGCAAAATCAATCAAGCATATGGGGCTTTGTAATGGGCAAAAGAAGGGGGCATGGATAATCACACCTATATATGCTATTAATCTACTAGGGAAAGTGGTGGAAGGAGAAAGAGTAAATGTAGAAATTGCCCACAAAAATTGCCAAGGTGGGTATATGGGAAGATGGTGTTTCAATCATTGGATTGATTTCTTGGCCAAACATGCTGGGCCTAAACTGGTAAGAACTGGGAATAAACGGTGCGGGTTTGAGAATACTGAGAAGAGAGGAAAGGTTAAGTATATAAGTGGTTTTGGGACACAGGGTGGTAAAGCTCAGTGACACGCACCTGTAAAAAAAATGTAGAAACAACATGAAACAACATTGTTTGCATTTTGCATGGGTTTCAAGGTTGAACCGGTTGAAAACATATAGACATAGACCGCTTCCGTAATAAGACATGGAGAAGCAACATATATTAGATAGCACACCGAAATCCCATGGTTTACCATCATTTACCCAACAGGAAATGTGGATCAACTGTGGATGCGGGTGCAAATCACTCAGATTGAGACACACCTATGTATCCATCCCAATGATATAACTCCATAACCCGACTATTGGGATTTTTTGGGCTTCCACGCCACCATTGTTTGGGAATCCGGCGGCACAAGCCTGTAACGTGCCGCTGTGGCACGCCGAAGATCTGCCGCAGGAAAAGGCCTTGGCGGCATGAGAAAAGTGGCTTTTGGTCGAGGGCAAACCACCAGAACGCATTGCGGTTTTAGAATGGTACCTCCACCAACAATAGAGAAAGTCAGGAAGAAGACTGGGGCTTAATTTGGGATGAACAAAATATGGGTTTGATTGGATACATTAAATTATATAGGATGTTGTGTGGAGAATACATACCCAACATAAGGGGCATATCCTGGGAATCCACTTTATGGAGATATGATAGTGATATAGCAATAATGTATGGGGGCTTTGAAAACCTATTTGCCAATGATCATAATTAAATATTGCCAACAGATTGAGACAAAGCCCATGCCATCAAGTAATGTCGTTGCCTTCAGTCTTGTGGCTGTGCCCCATGAAATTGGTAGCAGGCAATACCCAACTAATGGGACTTCAAAAAACGACATTGGAAAAAAATCGGCTCTTCCACAAATAGATGAAACATGAGAACATTACCTCAAGTATCCCTCAAGTATCCCTCAAGTATCCCTCACGTATCCCTCAAGTATCAATTTTTCAAAATTCCATTTTGGATATGCTACCCTCAGTGCCTGAGTTCGGACACCCACTCATTCTGAAATTCAGAAAGAGCCTGACGCCTTGTCGGCGGCTTATTTTCAGGGCATCAAACCATGATTCCATGATTCCATGATCAACTTTAAGGGTTAAGCTGGATCCCCATGACCTTCCACCCATCCCCACCGGACCTCGCGGTTAGCGGCGCCTGGAGCCGTGGAGATCGCTGGAGAGGAAAAGCCACGTAAGTTTCACACAAGTCGGCGCGTACTGAAAATGGTAACCAAACATTTGAAGGATCATGGAATCATGGCATTTTACATGGAACAAAAGATGGTTGATTAGAGTCATAGGCCTTGCGCCTCTATGATTCTTACTTTGCCCAACTCGAAAAAAGGCCATCTTACCAACAATGAGGGGCCCTTACCATAACCGTGGTTTATGTTGACGTCAGGTTGACATGAGGCTTCTGACAATTCAGCCAAAAATCGAACAATATGCCAAAGATCTTCCACAGGTCAAGTTGCGATCATCCAAAGTCACTGTTGGGATGAACGTGTGCACAACAAAACCAATCACAGATATCCCCATCAAACATCACAGTAAGATCAAGTATGGAGTCATTTTGGATTACCCTCTGGTAAACTAACATAACTATGGAAAATCACCGTTTTTAATGGGAAAATCCACTATTTCTATGGCCATTTTCAATCGGTTTACCAGAGGGTAACCATTAAACATCCCTGCCGGCCCGTCCTGCACATCCTTCACATCAACTGTGTAGAAGCCCTTCAGCAGTTCGGTCGCCTCTGGTAGCAGCGCTACCTGAGTCGGCAGGGCGCTGGTGTTGGCACAACCCAAGAAGCAGAAAGCAACGCCACTTAGACATCGAGTTACCGCAACTTTCAGGGAACTTGATGGAACATCCCAGTACCATCATGTCAATCAAATCCAATCTTACCCAGTGGGTTTCCATTGCGGAAAAAAGTTGAAACATTGGCCCTCACCGAGTCAGGGATTATTGAATGAATTCTGGTGTTTATTGACATCCCGCCGTTTGTCTGGGTGAACTCGCTCTTGTTGATCAATTCTGCCACCGGAAGCTAGCAAACTATGATTGAATTATTTAGGTGATATATCCAAGTGGCCAGGGTTGCAACCCAAAACACAGTGTAAGGATCATCCCAGAAGCCATGGATCCCTGCTCTGACCCTCTCATCATGGATAACATATTAGAACAAAGTATCAAAAACAACGCAGCTTAATGAATCAGTCTACCAATTTTGTTCATCTCTAGCTATTTCAGCAACTTGCCAGTAACTAGTTCCTGGAACCACCAGAAGTAGAGGCGGCAAAGGCCTTGTGGAAACACATCATTGGAACACTGGGAAACGAAGACTTCATCAGCAAAAACAAAGGAATATCATGGAATATCATCTATTATAAAGGCTTAACCAGCGAGCATGGCTATGGGATCGCAATAGTTGGTAGGATCACATACAGTAATAGGTTTCAAAAGGTTCCAACAGGTGGAAACAAGCTTGGAGTCGGAAGATGGTTATTGGAATCTCATTGAGAATCTTGGGTTGGCAAAAAACTAAAAGCACAGGGAACCACAAAATAAAACATAGGACATGCAGTTGCATGAGATATGAAGGTGATTGAGGGTATAAAGGGAACAAGGGAAGGACGTATGCAAGATTGTACACATCTGGCAACCCCCTTCCTTCAGCTCCACCACGCCGAGCCACTCTGCAGTATCTGCTTCATCGCCATTGCGAAAGCGCTGCGCGACATGATCCTGAGCAAATTCACCCTTGAGGAAGCAGAAACCCATCAAGATGTGACCTATTTCTTAAAGGAAAACGGTTGGGAAGAATTGGTCTTGGATTTTGATGTGGATTGATTGGATTGGATGCAAACAACAGAAGATACGTGTCCGTGGGTCAAGTGGGTGTACGTGATTCCAAAACTGAATCATAACATATCATATCCATTCCCCATCGCTGATTTTACTGTAGTAGAGTTGGATTGCCACCAGGGGCAAATGCGGGGAGCCAGGGATAGACGACCCCAAAAATACGGAGCTTAGCATGAAACATGGCTTGAACATTAAAATTTCATTGAAAACAATTATGTGCCTTAGTTTTTGCCCTGAAGGGAGGCCACCTATTGGTTATTCTTCCCCAAATGTTGACACCCCCATGGCCCGTAGCCGCGACTTGTTCCACATGCCGCGGAATGTTGGCCATCAAACTTGGCTGGCCAGGCCGTTGCCTCTGATGTCCATGGTGGTGAGATTGCTGGTAGAGTCTCGCTGAAATAGAGCAACTGCTGTTCAAAATTGTAGGTGTTTCCTGAATTAGATCAGAATGTGTCTAAATGTTTGGTAGAACATCTTGGCAAATAAAACGTTTTTGACAAAAATCAATATATATCCCATACAGAGCAGCTTTGCTTTGTTGCAAATTATTTGTTTTTGATGTTTTTCTCGCTTGTCTTGTAGCCACCCATAGACCACCCTAGTCACTTGTTGCTGAAACCACAAGCAGGATCCTAGGTGCTGCACCTTTAGCACCGATATAGAACTGGAACATGTGACACAATGCAACACAACCCTCAGGCTTCAGTTCATTGCTTGATGGCATTGTTTCATTTGAGCAATTTTGGGCATATCTGAACCATTGGTGTCATCAGCTACAACAAGACAAACTGATCACCCACTCCCCCAGCAAACTCACCAACTACGTGGGCAACTCGCATCACCGTGGTTGACGCTTCGGTCGCGGGAAGATTGGATTCAATACACGACATGCAGGTATTGCGTGGCTAGGCACTATGATAGTCTATGACAGATCATGTGCACTAGCCACTGGAAGGGCCATCTTGAAATCGACCTACAAATTGACAAAAATGGTCTGGAACAAACTTGTCCAAGAAAGTTCCCTGGGAAAAGTCTGACGGCAACTTGCACAACCATCAGAATCAAAGATAGCCCCTCCATATTTGTCTCGCCCCCGGGCAGCTGGCTCTGGGAGCCGTGCACTAGGGGTAGTGAGACCAAAATAAAAACTGACCGCCAGCCGCCCGCAGAGGTGGCTCTGGAATAAACAGTGATTTGGACCAAAGATTGTTCAACCACTTTACATTATGGGACCACATTTACAAAATACCCATTGAAATATCAAAGTCACAATCTTTAAAATTACTCATGGTCCAGACATGTCCAAAACGATATATATATATATATCTCTCTCTCTTATAAATATATCATTATCATAACTCCTTGCTGGAGGCAGCCGGCACACTGTCTAACCTTGTCCTTGTGACATCATTGTCTGAACGTTGTCGCTCAGTTCATCTCAGTCCCGATATTCTCCAGGCGCCGTATCTGGGAGACTCACGGTCTCATGGCTGGCACTGCTGCGACCTTTGTTTGCCTTTGCCACGGCGGAAGGGCTTCGGGGTCAAGCCCTTCGTCAGAACCAGCGGCTCCTGCGGTGGGAGGAAACAAGCCACGGCTTTGTCCGGGTAGAAGGTGATGGCCAAGACCTCTTGGACTTCCACCTGGGAGCAGGCAACAAGGAAAAAAACGCAGATGCGTTCAGTTGCCTATAAGAGATTCTCGAAATGGACATAGGTCAAATAAAAAAAATCTTTCTATCTCTTTCTGCAATTCAAACAATGCGAAGGGATAATCAGCATTGTATTGGAAAACAATTGCGCTTGGAAATGGCAGGAACCTGGGGTTCAGCTATGCCGAACATATGATTCAACCGGTGGAATCATCTACAGTCATCTACGAAGTGGTAGAGCACGGAAGCACAACAAAGTCATACAAGAACAACAGCCGGGATAAAGCACCTCTACAACCAAGCTACGGGGATCAGTTCGATTCCAAGGACCTTCTTGGCCACGCGATCGGTGCACATCACCCAACTCTCCACCTTGAGATCCTTGGCCTGGACTGTCGCGTCGTGGCTATCCGATGATGGGACCATAATCCGGTGGTTGGGGGTCGTCCGGAAAGGGACTGCCGCATCAATCCTCAGTGCGGATCAGTCTAGCTAAGCAGAAATTGTTCATAACCCCTGGATGCCCTTGGTACACTACTTTGTATAGCCAGAGATGTCACTATAGTTTTTTTAACGGAACCAGGGCTGCAAGGAATTCTCGTATTCATTCTGTGTAAATCTGACCTTGCCACACCCATGAGTACCAGTAGATGGTATGATGATGTGTGAATATATGAGTTTGCCCATAGCCCACTCCAAACTTTCCGTTTGAGTTTGAATCCATCCGAATCATAATCCATCGGAATTATGGAATTGGGGAAACCCCGTTTCCAAACAACCCAAATTCAGGAATCATCTTATAATTATTCAGTTTTCCACCACACCATCTGCATCGACAACCCTCGGCCAGGTCTCTTGAGTTCCAGCAGCTTGGTGGTTCTCTGCGCCTCAACCTTGATAACCTCAATGATGTCTCCGTCCGCCGACTCGATCTTGGCACCCTTCTGCAGGTCCTGCGAATCAACAGGCCGATGTGGGCAGTGATTATTCATAAACCTGTTCAACCTTGGTGTGCACAAGAATAGGGTAAGTATGCCCCAGAAACCCGCAGTACATGGGCTTCCCGTGGGGAGTGACCTGTTTTGGAAGAGCTCCTGTTTAAACAACGCAGAAGTGCGGCTTTGAAAACTAATTACTTCGCAGGGCCCGTCGATTCTTTTGAGCACCACAACACTTGTGCTAGTGCATTGTGCTGGTCATCCTGTCCTACTTAGCGCAGGGAGACAGGATTATGGGTCCATTAGCGCAAAAAAAAACATCGAGCAGTTAGTTTTGTTCAGCATTGCTCAGCAAAAAAACATAATGCATCAATCTGGTACTAATGTTGTACTCCAATCCTTTGCCGCTACCCAGGCCACGGATTTTGAGGATGATTCATCTGCAGACTGCAGCTGCTGGAAGAGATAGGACGGCAAAAAGCAATGTGGCCCACCATGCCCCGAGAGGTACCTAGTCGCAGGGGGCTGAGCCCTGGAAAGTACTAATCATTGCTAATTGCTAATCATTACTAATCATACAACCCTCTGGGATCAACCATATCAACAACTAAAACGGAAAGAACAATTTTCATAAAACCACCAGCCAGGTACGACATCTGACTCTCCACTGACCAACAAGATGCCACACTCCCCACATCTCCAGCCGCATCTGCCGGCGCATCTGCCACAACGTCTGCCGCCGTCGCCGTGTCCTCAACGAGGCTCCAGGAGCCCGGCTCCGAGGACTCGGGCGAGGCAGGAAGATCGGGCAGCGACGAGAGCTCCCGGGCGATCTCGGACGCCGTCGAGGCGAGCTGCGAAGACAAATTGACGGATATGTATGTTGGCGAGCTGATCTTCAGCCAATATACAAGTTTTTCACACCAGCTTTGCAGCTTCCCGGTAAACTCTGTCATCTTGGAGTGGAGCTCCGAGCTGATATGTCCTTCCAGCTGCGACTGAACATCCTTGAAGGCCGCCACGAGATCCGCCAACTTCTTTTCAGTCGACATTGCCAAGGGGCTTCGTGCCAGGCCATAGGCGTCAGATGATTCGCCTTTGAACCAGCTTGCACACCTAGCCAGTACGAAGATTTGCTTCCGCTGCACCTCTGCAGCTGCAAAGATCTCCCAGATCCGCCAATCTGCTGTCCCTTTTGAAGGAAGCAGCTTCTCTTCAATCGGCTTCAAGAGACACAACAGATCTGATGCCGCCTCCGGCCATAGATTCGGAACGTGTCCAGCCATGCCCACAGCAAAATCTGCCATGGAGAAAATGTCTTCATCTTCCAGGTTCATCTCTTTGATTTCCTTGACGCTCGACAGCAATGCTTTCTTTTCCACCCCTTCTGCATGGGGCCAACGCTCCAGAAACATTTGCACCTTGGCAAAAATCGGGGGAATTGATGAAGATTCCATGGCCTGCGCGCTGCTCCCACTCTAGGGCTGCCAAGGCTGGAACTGAGCACTGGTGGCCACTGTTTATTTAACCATGACATGAGACTGCCATCAAAAGAATCTGAAGTGACCCGCTGAAACTTATGCCTTTCTCACATCACCCTTGACATATCTAACTGCAACTTCTGTATTATTCCCCAAGCCGGCCCACATTCCATCAGGCACCACACAAATTCTTGGGATATCCCCCACCTTTGCCGCTGTGACACGCCGGAGATCTGCATCAACAACGAATGCTCGAGAAGCCTTGGCACAGTGCCTGGTGATACTCCAGGTCCAACATGCAGGGCTTCATCCCGGGGCTTGAATGGGAACGTATGTTTGATCACAAGTGGTAAAGTAAAGATATTGAAGTTGGGGACACAGAAATCAAACATACAGCTCAATTAAAGTCACCCAACTTGTAACACACGATATTTCAGGTTATTATCTTACCAAACAAGAAAAGGAGAACAACATGGACTTCGACCCACTGATCATATCGCTTTTGTAGTGAAATAGGGGTGCTGTGCCTCAAACCTGCCGACAAACAATGGAGCCTCTAATCCCCGGGCGAAAATAGGTTGGTTCAATGGCGTCCACAATCAAGAAAAGTGGGGACAAATAAGCAGTACTGACCCGATCTAACAAGTGATAGATCAAACATTATTAAACAAATTATCAGCACACGAGTACAGGATATGGATAGTGATATATCAATCTGACACAATATCAACCCATAAAAAAATAATCAACAAATTATATCTACAATGAGTACGTGTCCAATGGACATTTGAAACCCTCAGCAGATCGCCAAAGCCTGGGCCTCACACAGGTCCCTCGGCAGGTCAACCTGGCGGTGGAAAATCAACGGATTGGTTTACGGGAAGATCAACAGGAGACCATTGTCTTAATCCCATCTACTACGGTGTTAAACTGGTTGGTGGTATACCTACCCCTCTGAATAATACGAGTTCGTCAGTTGGGATGATTCTTCCCAATATATGGAAAACAAATGTTCCAAACCACCAATCAGTATATGATGATGTCTACAATAACTACCTTCAACAACTCAAATGCAAGAGGAACCAGCTGTCATAATCCTCCCTGGGAGTCTTTGTGGATAAAGCAAGAAACCCTGAACCAACAAATGTTTCTTCTAGTTGGTCGACTGTGTATTCAACTGCGACGCTTCCTATATCAAAAAACGGAGAAGTGATCTGGGGAATCAACCACTTAAATTGT